TTTCTAATTTATTTTTCTCGTCTCTCTCGAGTCTTCCCCCTCCAAATAAGACGCACATACGCTATTACCTACCTACCTACCTACCTACCTACCTACCTTACCTCCCGGCCCTCTACGCAATCTTGCATTCTGCAACCTCGAGAGTCTCGACCTTCCTCCCCTTGTTGAGCTAGCTCGACGACCAGGTGTGATCGAAACTGACCGCCTGTCGCTGAGGTTATCGTGATACGTGACGTGCTCTGCTCGTGCTGTTCTCGGTAGCATTGCTGGCTGGGGTCTCTGGTTCTTACTAAAGGTCACCACCTCCATCCTAAGCCTGCACTTTGTCCCGCCGAACCTACACCCTCTCTTCCTTTTCTCGCCACAAGCCCACAACTCGCTCCCAATTCTACGCCCTGGAAATCCCTCAACCCTCAACGACGCTGCCTCCGCTGTTGTGAAGGGCGTCCTCTGTCTCCCCAACGCTACGAGGTGTCCATTCGCCCACCATGGTTGTCTTCGACGGTCACGAGTACCTCACAGAGGAGGAGAAGCGTCTCAAGGAAGACCGCAGGCGCGAGAAGTACTGGAAGAAATGGGGCCCTTACGTTGCCGAACGTCAATGGGCCACCGGTGAGTGGCAGCTAAAGCTCCAGCTTCAGAGTCAGCCCCAGCTGCTACCATTGCTGCTGCAGTTGGTGCTGCTGCTGACGGTCCCTCCATCAACGAAACAAACATGATCTAATCGAAGCTGTGTCGTAGTGCGAGAGGATTACAGTCCCGACGGAGACGCGTGGAGTCGTGAGCACACCCCGCCATTCCCCACGAGCTCCAGTCGCAACCCGCTGACAGCATGCCCCAGACTTTACCCACGACCACGCACGATCCCGAGCCTACAGATGGGGTGAGGATGGAATTGCCGGTGTTTCTGATACTCACGGCTTCCAAAACATTGGTTTTTCTTTCTGGAACGAGGAAGAGTTAGTCAAACGCTCGTCGGCTACTTATGCTTCGTACTAATGGCTGATAATTTGACAGTGATTTCCTCAAGGAGAGATTGTTTGGTCTCTCAAACCCCCAGGGTAACCATGGTGAGAGCGTCAAGGAAGCTCACTTCCACGTTGACAATACCCCCGTAAGTAGCTCAAGGTTCCTATGATATTCGTAAGTCAATGGCTAATAGACAATTTAGACAGTAAGTTGAAAAGAGCTAGTCCCCAACTGCTCGTACTGACAAACCGCCCGCAGCATTCCTACATGAAATTCCTCTACAAGTACCCGCAGAAGAAGTTCCCTTACAAGGACCTATTGGAAGAAAACGCACGCAGAGGCAAGGAAGACAAGGAGTACCAGATCGTTGACACAGGCATCTTCGACGAAGATAGGTACTGGGATATTTTCATCGAAACGGCAAAGGAGACGGACGACCCCGAGGAGATCTTGTTCCGTGTTACCGCATGGAACAGAGGTCCCGATCCGGCACCACTTCACATTGTGCCGCAAATGTGGTTCCGTAACACCTGGGCCTGGGGCCGGGAGCCTGAGGACAAGAAGCCGTCCATCGAGAACATCGGCGAGGGTCTGGCCAAGTCCAAGCATCACAAGCTCGGGGACCGTTACTTCCTGATGTCACCTTCTCCCGGTGTTGGTACCAGCGGCGAGGACGTAATACCCCAGATGTTGTTTACCGACAACGACACCAACTATGAGCTGTTGTATGAGCAGGACAACAAGACTCCATACGTCAAGGATGCCTTCCATCGTCACATTTGCGAGAAGGAAAAAGGGGCCGTCAACCCAGCACAGAAGGGCACCAAGTGCGCCGCCTGGTTCAGCTTCAATGAGGATGGTGGTGTTCCTCCCGGCGAGTGCGCTGTCGTCCGTTTCCGCTTCTCCAAGAAGAACCAGACCTACTTCGACGAAGGCGACTTTGATGACCTGGTCGATCTCAGGATCGCTGAGGCCGACGACTTCTACTACCGCCTCAGCCCCCTCCCCATGGCAGACGATCTGCGCAACATTCAGCGTCAAGCCTTCTCCGGAATGATGTGGACTAAGCAGCATTACCTATTCATTTGGGACCAATGGGCGAATGGTGACCCGACACAACCCCCTCCGCCCCCGAGCAGAAAAGACATTCGCAACTCTCAGTGGAAACACATGCACTGTGACGACATTCTGTCTATGCCCGACTCTTGGGAATATCCCTTCTTTGCGGCGTGGGACAGTGCTTTCCACTGTATCACACTGGCGATGATGGATCCAGACTTCGCCAAGAAGCAGCTTGATCTTTTCACCAGAGAATGGTACTGCCATCCCAACGGCCAGCTGCCAGCGTAAGTTACTTCCCGAAGAACCCAGTTAGACTGGTACTGATGCCGTGTAGATACGAGTGGAACTTTGGCGATGTGAACCCCCCCGTTCATGCCTGGGCCACGTTCCGAGTTTTCAAGATTGAGCGCAAGCTCTACGGACGACAGGATCTGGACTTCCTCGAGAGAGTTTTCCAGAAGCTGTTGTTGAACTTCACCTGGTGGGTTAACCGAAAGGACGCCGAAGGCAAGAACGTTTTCGAGGGAGGCTTCCTCGGTCTCGACAACATTGGTCTCTTCAACCGCTCTGAGCCTCTCCCTACCGGTGGCTCTTTGGAGCAGGCCGACAGTACCGGATGGATGGCCTTCTACTGTCTCAGCATGCTCAACATTGCTCTTGAACTTGCAAAGCATCGACGCACATACGAGGATATCGCTTCCAAGTTCTTTGAGCACTTCATCTTCATCAGTGACGCCATGACCTTCAGGACTGGCCAAAAGGATGAGAAGTCGCTCTGGAACGACGAGGATGGTTTCTACTACGATGCCATCTCATGGGGTGGCCCCTGGATCCAGCAGCTTCCCGTCCGTTCTCTTGTTGGATTGATTCCGCTTTACGCGACTCTAACTCTCGAACCCGAGCTAATCAACAAGCTGCCCTCATTCAAAAAGAGGGTTGATTGGTTCATGGAGAACCGCTGCGATTTGGCCGAGCGAAACATGGCCAGTATTGCCAAGCGTGGAAAGGGTAACCGTATCCTCTTGTCCATTGTAAGCAAGGACAGGCTCGAGAAGATTCTTTACCGCATGCTTGACGAGGACGAATTCTTCAGCGAACATGGAATTCGCTCCCTATCCAAGTACCACAAGGAGAACCCCTTTTCAATGGAGGTTAATGGCCAGACTTTCTCCGTCGGCTACGTTCCTGGTGACTCTGACAGCGGTCTGTTTGGTGGCAACAGCAACTGGAGAGGCCCTATTTGGTTGTGTGTCAACTTCCTTCTGGTTGAGTCTCTTCAGAGATTCTTCTTGTTCTACGGACACGAGTTCCAAGTCGAGTGTCCCACAGGCAGTGGCGACTACATGCATTTGGGCCACGTTTCCGAGGAGATCCAGCATCGTCTGCAGCACCTGATGACGCGCAACGACGAGGGTCGACGTAGCATCAACTCCGGAAACGACCTTCTGGACTTTGACCCCTACTGGAAGGACTACCTCTGGTTCTACGAGTTCTTCGACGGCGACAGTGGCCGTGGACTTGGCGCTACCCACCAGTGTGGTTGGACTGGTTTGATGGCTCGCATGATCCACGATACTGGGTAAGATTATCTTTGATCCAGGACATTTGAAAATGTATGCTAACAAGACTGCACAGTATCAACTGCCGTCTGCCTCATACTCCCCGCACTCCCTCGGCGGGCATGTCTCACTACTTTGATGATATCTTTGCCCGCGGCACTGATCGCCGTGGCTCAATGACCCCCGGTCCTGGTGGCAAGCCGCGGATGCGTAGATCATCAACGGCGAGATCCATCGGTGCAAGGAGCGACTTTGACGAGACTAATGGCGACGACTCACTGAGCAACTCGGCCACGTTGGATGACCCAGAGAAGCTTCGACAGAGGATGAGAGAGAAGTCCGAAGCCGACGCACACATGCATCGCTACATCTCGGATCAGCTGGAGAGGTTCAAGGAGGACAAAGAGCACCCGGGTGGAACTGACAACGAATATGAGGCTGGTGCCTAGAGCTTCCCTCTGGTGATCAGGAAACGTCAAATGGTCGAGGGGCGGACAGGTGCAAGTGCATCTGGATGTAGACGGTAAAAAGAAGAGTACGAGTGCATCCATGGAGTTTCCTTGTGTAGTGAGCATGATGAGAAACCAAAAACTGCCATCGATGCACATAGAGCCATATACAGGACTGTTAGACTGCAGAGGTAGAGGTTCCTAGGGTTAATATACGTAGATTGGGGTTCCAAGAAGTTTCAGGGGTCCGCAGTGAGAACCATCCCCCTCAGGCGTTCATATGTACATCGGCTTAAAGCGTGCCACATATCTTTTCTTCAATCTATCAGCCATTTACCGGCGGGGCTCCAGCGTAGAAGGGAACAGGAATTGTGGCTTGCTGAGCTGAAGTTCGTGGCAGAGAAATCTCAAGGTCGTGCGTGTATGGCCTCGATGTGCTACAGAGTCGAACGCGGCCGGCCAAGGACTTTTGGCTTGCCCAGGGAGGGCTCACGTTTGTCCGGATTCTCATGCAGAACTACGATAGTATCGAAAGAGTGAGCTTCTACCAGCACGGGAACCCATACAAGATCATGCTTTCGGATATTATGTGCTGGTCGCTTTTTTGGGCCATGCTTGTTTACATTTCGGAAGGTGCAGATTCCATTCGAGTTTGATTCTTCAAAGCTAGTAAGAGAGCCTCAAACCTCCATCGCTCACTACCTGGCATTACTCATTTCAAGAATGAGTATGAACAACCTGCATTCATGCCCGTCTTACATGTCACATAGAATCAGCAGATGTCAATTGGGATTGGATTCGTCTCGGAAGGTGATGATCAACGTTAGACGAGCCGGCGTAACAGTGGCAGGCTCGTGGGGAGAGCGAATACCAACAGCTGGTGCATCGTTCGCTCTTTCTGGCTTGTGTGTGAAAAAGAGGGGTGCATAGGGTAGCTTTTACGAAAGATTAGTAGTGTTTGTTGTAGAAAAGGGGTTCCGTGAATGCTTCTATTGTAGACAGAACTATGCACAGCTTTCGTCTCATTCGGGCTTCTCCCCAATGTCCTCTCGCCCCGGGGGGGAAAGTGGCCAACATCATCTCTTCCAAGATCCAATCCAGTTTTTTGTTTCACGTGGATTTTGTCGTTACACGTGGTAAGAGCCGGACCCTCTCCCTCCTCCTCCTCCTCCTTCCCACTAAACCCCCGCCCAGTCAAGTTTACAAGATAGACACACACGCACACAAAGAGAAAATAAGGGTGAGGTTTGGTCCGGTGTGGGGAGAAAGAGGATTAGGATTTCTTCATGCTAGTATGATGGAAGATTTTGTGTGTGTTTTTACAAAGTATCAGTGAGAAGCTTGTTGAGCTTGGCAATCTTGCCAGAGACGCTGAGGTCGATGGTCCGGTCGCCAATCTCGACAATGAGGCCTCCGACGATATCGGGGTTGACCTAGTGGAAAGGGGGTGTCAGTCACACACAGGCGGCTCTTCACTTTGGAATGGCTCTGACACCACTGTCCCAGACCGAGGTGGTCTCGGAGGGACGGCTCGGAGATGAGGGTAAGGCGATAAAACGTACGTTGTTGGTGACCTTGAGCTTCTTGCCCTGGCCGACGTAGGAGGACTTGGCGATGGAGCTCTCGAGGCGGTTGAGAGTCTTGTTGTCGAGTTGCTGAGCATGGGTGTCAGTGGCCTGTGTTCAATGACGTCCCTAAGTGCATGTGCAAAATTCCCTCGTTGCAAGTTGCAACTTTCAAGATACCACCGTTGTGTAGGTATTCCGGGTCCGCCTTCAAATCTCTCAAAGGCGAACCGCACATATCCCTCCATTCAAGCCTCAAATGAGAGAAAGAAAACCTACAGTGGCGCTGGTGACGGTGAGCTCAACCTCGCCGCGGGCGGCGCTCATGATCTCGGCAAACTTCTGGGTGATGCCGGGGAGGAGACCGAGGCGGTTGTTCTCGGCGAGGGCGGCGAGGAAGTTCTTGACGGTCTCCTGGGAGCCGGCGCCGGCCTGCTTGGTGAGCTCGGCGACGATGGCGGACTTGTCCTCGGGGGTCAGCGTGGGCGCGGCGAGGACGGTGGTCAGCTTGGGGTCCTTGGCGAAGATGGCGTCGAGGGTGGCCAGAGCCTTGGCCGTGGGGTCCAGCGAGGAGGTCTTGGAGGCGGCGGTGTACTGTGGTCGGGCAAAGTTAGCCGTCTGTGAGAGATCTTGAATGATTTTTCCCATCTCGGTTGTAATTTTCCCTCGATGCCCCAAATTCCTTCCGGGAAGCTCCCTCATTCCCCATCAATCCTCTCAATCAACAACATCCTCCCCCAACCAATTGATCCAATTGAATAACCCTCCGTCCAGGGAATAACCAGTGTAACGACAGGGACAGGTGCGTACCAGGGCAGTGGCGTAGGTGCCGTCGAGGCCAAAGACGGCGACGGGGGGCTTGACGGCCTCGGTCGCGGCGGCAGCGGCGTAGGTGCGGACGGCCGGGGCGCGGGCGACGAGGCGCGAAGCGGGAGCCGCCGCTCGGAGGGTACGAACAGCCTGTCTCGAGAACATGTCGGGCGAAAGAGAGGTTCCGGTTGTGGTGGGTGGTGGAGTTCAATTGAAGATGGGAGACGGGCGGGAGGAAGGGATGGCTGGATTCGAACGAGACGCAGTAGTGGTAGCTTGCGTCGGTTTTCGAGGTTGAGGTTTGAACTTCGGCAATTTAGGATGTTGATGCCTTGGGACGTTACGGTCGCTTGCTGGTTGAGTGGTAAGGCATTAACTTAGGTAAGCGGGTCGAGGGCTCGGGTCGGTGGAAATCGGAGGTGCTCGTTGTTACTGCCAAGAGACTCGAGAGGCAGGCCCAAGCTCCACTCTTTGGAGCCAATTCTGGTGCAATGGGACGAAGCAAATCACTTGTAGTCTCACGACTGATGGAACTCCATGAAGTGTGCCCAGGATACTCGAGAATGCACAGCGATTTGGTCATTCTCAATTCTCGAATTCTCAACCCAAAGCCCTACTACCCGTTACCCAGTTTGTAGTCTACAGTGATATCACAATAACCGCTTCAATGCCTCGTGTCCACAGGCTCAGCAGTGTCAAAGCCCAACGCGCCAATTATCAGACCTTCCTTATTACCTTGCCAACCAGCGTGTCATCCGTATTTCCCCAACGCCTAGACAATGCATGCATTCAAACTCTCGAAAGGCTCGTCTGTCCTGTCTCAGTCGCTCTCAATCATCTTCTCCGCGAGGTCGTTGAGAGGACCATAAAAGTCCTTGCCACTAGCCAACTTGTGCTCGTCGACAAACAGAACGTACTGCTTGAAACTCGTGTTGAGGTGGGGCTCCAGTCCAAGCTCTCTGATGACTGCATAGTGGTGGCAGTAGACGTGGGCATAAACGCGATACATGCGCTTGAAGATCTGCCGCACTGTTGAGGGGAATGATTTGGGGAAGGCAACACCTAATGGTCCATGTTAGAAATAATCTCCCATTGAGCGTGTCAAAGTAATACACACCAATTCTGCTCGGCAGGATCTGCTCGTCATCAATATGACGCTGTACCCAGGCCATCAAGTGCTCAATGTAGTCCGGCGCGGCCATCTTAGTCGGCCTCTTGTAGTTCTCACTGTCCTGCCACAAATACTCGAATTCGTCGGTTGCCTTCATTTCGGGGCATGACTGAGGCGAGCAGAATTCGGTGATAGCGCCGTAGAGGAGGTTGATCTGGTTGTAAAAGTCGACCACTGCATTTGAGGTGTGTCAGTCGTGCCGTTTCCTTTGCTCCACCTCCCAATTCCCCGGGATAATACTCACTATTGACTGCCAACCACTCATTCTCGTCTTCGCCTTCAGGCAACTTCACAACCTTGCGCAGGCTGCCGCCTCCGAGTGTAGCCTCGGCATACTGTCGCAGTGCAACGCCATTGTTGGCTCCCTTGACAGTACGCGCCCGAAATTGGTTCCTAGCCGCCTTCTGGTTACTGCCGTCCTCGTAATCATCGTCAGCAGTTGTCAATACTGGTTCAGGAATCTGCGGTTCGGGAGTCTGAATGACAGTCACGTCTCGATTGACGAGACTACCACCATAATTTCGTGGAGGAGGATCGGGCACAGCTGGCGGTACCGGGGGCGGCAGCGGTGTTATTCCCGCCAGCAAGCCCGTCCGGACACTGATGTATTGCAAAAGGGACATCATAGATGCGATGTTGGGTGTGGTACTGACACTGTGAGGCCCGCGACCCTGTCCATGATGGGCGGCGTTTATTATCGAAATGCGCGCGAAAGGAGGTTCGATGTTTAATGTTGTCGTCGAAGGCTACTCATTCCAGTGGTTAGCGGGGTAATGGAACAATTGAAATCCAAAGGGCAGTCGCAGAAAGATGTCATTGATGTTGTGACATACCAGATAGTCAAATGACGTTCAAAGATGTCGACTCGATGCTCGTATCCTGTTTGCGCGACCGGGAGAGGTATGTCTGGATGTGAAATGTCAAATCAAGATGTTATTGGATCCACGGTGCGCTGTGCTGGCTGTTTGGGTGACACGAGGTAAGGTGCCTGTGAAAGGGTCCCCCCTACTGCATTGAAGGGATAGTGGTGTTTATGCGCTTGCCCAATCGGTGCGGTTGCTGGGCTGCAGGAGCCTGGCTGGTGGGTACATCAGCCACAGTGCACCCCTACTGAGTGTGGCTGAGACCCGGGGCCTATCCCGCTTCCCCCAGTGACGGACAGCCGGATGACATCGGGCGGGGCTCCTAATTCCCGGAGCCAAGACCCAGAATTACGGCATTTTGCATTTGCGGACGACGAGATCCGATTCTTGTTGGTTGTCTTCGATGCCGTGAGTCTTCAACTTCCAGCCCCAGGGCATCTGGAAACCTTCAACTGTAATTCAATCAGGTCAGCCAAATGTAGGCATCCCTGTCGTTTTCTCCGCAGACAAACTCAATCCTCCACGAGGACTTCTGCCGGCCTGGGTTTTCAATAGCCTCAATTCCAAAGTGGAGACCATGTCATCCCCGCATTCGTAGTTCATCTCTTTCCCCTCATCGTTCCCCAGGGCCTACCCATAGCATGGCTTTGGTGCCTTCGGTGCAAACCACACCGAAAGGTGAGTCTTTGTGTCCATGGTTCATGTCCGTCAAACTTCACACATGACCATAAGGGGGGAGGACCCGGCCTCAAGCGTCGTCATGACCGGACCGCAGATCTCCAGGGATAAAATAAAAGTAGCCCGGTTCCCCGCGTAATCCGAAATCCGGGGTTTGATGCTATGGGCATCAATATTGGCTCTGCTTCCTCCATGCAGTGCTAATACTTTGTGTAATTGAGAGAAGGCAGTCCAGGCATGCGTGCTGTACATCTCCTCCCGCTGCTCTGCAGCCTCATCGAGGCCAGAATCGACAGGCAAACGGTCGTCCAAGCCTTCAACCCTCGCCGTAATGCTAGCTCCCCTGAGACGCCGCTACAGGTGGGCAACGGCAACTTCGCCTTTGGTGCCGACATCACGGGTATCCAGACCTTCAGCCCCTTTGCGACGATGTCGACATGGGGATGGCACAACTTCAGCTTGCCCACAACGCCTAATCAGACTCAAATCGAGGGTTAGTAGACATAGCCGAGAGGCGTCAGAAGTATTCAGTTCAGAAAGCATGTACTGACTCTCTTCACGATAGACTACCACGGCACGGAATGGTGGACCCACGGCCGACTTGTACAGTACAACATGGCTAACCCCTCAAACAACGACATCGCAGACTGGCTCCGCGAGAACCCGCACCGCATAAATCTGGGCACCATCGGCTTCTCCTTTTCCGACGACGGCAATACGACAGTCACGGAGGACATGCTTGGCAACAAGGAACAGACCCTCGACATGTGGACGGGCGTCATCCGTTCCAGCTTCACATATAAGAACCACACCGTCAAAGTCGAGACGTGGGCTGACCCATCCTCGGACAGCGTCGCCGTGTCGGTAGAATCCGCTCTCCTCTCTTCCGGCGCTTTATCCGTCTTCTTTGATTTTCCCTACCCGACAAATGACAAGTTCAGCGCCCCGTTCGTAGGTGTCTTCAATCAGACGGACCTGCACAAGACGTCCCTGTCGACCCCTAACGGAGGAGACACCAACAAGGCCACGATCCATCATGACCTGACCACGACGCAGTACGACCTGTCACTCGAGTGGGATGTTGCCACCGGCGGTAGTGGTGCTATCAAGACACCGACCGACGGGAGCCATCGATACGTGCTTTCACCCAGTGGGACGGATACGCTGCGATTCACGGCCAACTTTGCGCCGTCTGCACCCGCATCCGTCGCCGAGTTTGACGGCGTCGTGGCGGCTTCGCGGGAATGGTGGCCGTCGTATTGGAACAATGGAGCCTTTGTAGACCTGACGGGGACTCCAGATGCCAACGCAACCGAGCTTCAGCGCAGGATAATCCAGTCTCAGTATCTGGTGGCTGTGAACTCGGCATCAGACTACCCTCCACAAGGTAAGTGAACAATTCAAACCCCCTATCAACTTTCTTTCGCCCGAGAAGAGTGCTGACGTGGGACATAGAATCCGGTCTCGTGAATAATGGTTGGTTTGGCAAGTTCCATGTAAGTCACATCCTTCAAACTCCCTGATATATGACCACGCCCAGCTCACACAGTCTCAAAGATGGAAATGATCCTCTGGCACACCCTCCAATTCGCCCGCTGGAACAACCACGCCCTCCTCGCCCGCTCCCTCCCTCGAACCTACACCCACCTCCTCCCCTCCTCCCTCGCCCGCGCCAGGACCCAAGGCTACGCCGGCGCCCGCTGGGGCAAGATGACGGACCCTTCCGCCATCGACGCCCCCGGTGAGATTAACACCCTCCTCATCTGGCAGCAGCCACACCCAATGTACTTTGCCGAGCTCGCCTACCGCCACGCGCCCACCCCGCAGACCCTCGCCGACTGGGACGACGTCCTCACCGCGACGGCGGACTTCATGGCCTCGTACGCCTTCCTCAACGAGACGACGGGCATCTACGACCTAGGCCCGCCCATGTACCCCGTCTCGGAGAACACGAACCCCAATGCCACCGTCAACCCGACCTTTGAGCTCGCATACTGGCGCTTCGGCTTCGACGTCGCCATATCTTGGAAATCCCGCCAAAACAGCTCCGTCCCAGAAGCCTGGATCACCGTCAGAGACAACCTCGCCCCCTTACCCGTCATCGACGGCACGTACCCCGTCTACCAAGGCATCCCCGACATGTGGACCGCCAACACGACAACGGTGCAAGACCACCCGGCCATGGCCGGTATCTTTGGCCTCCTCCCGCCGCCGGCCTCGGGCCCGCCGTTGAACCGCACGGTGCTCGAGGAGACCGCCGCCCGTATCTGGGCGCTGTGGGATCTCGACGAGTCATTTGGCTGGGATTTCCCCATGCTTGCGATGAATAGCCTCCGCCTGGGCGACGCGAACCGCGCCGTCGACTATCTCCTCCACCCGACGTTCCAGTTCGACGACGCGGGGTACCCCGTCGGCGGGACGAGGGTGCCGACGCCGTACTTCCCGAGCTCGAGCAGCTTGCTGCTGGCCGTAGCAATGATGGCTGGGGGGTGGGATGGCGAGGAGGGGTCTCACTTCTCTAGCGAGTGGGATGTTGTAGTTGAGGGCTTCGTTCCTGGGTTGTAAATAAGAACAAATAACTGTGAGTCGAGGGGATAATGTATGAAGATATAGACTTGCCTATCGACTTTGTAAAATGAACATTCATTCGAATGAGCGCGGAATGGTTAGTTGCTAGAGAGAGCAAATGAGTAGAACACGACGCACAACTTCAAGCATTTGCCAGGTAATTTGTAAAACGCTTTAAACTTTATTCTGCTGGCGTCGGTCGTAGTGACCGGACCCTGGATGACGAGCATTTCACAATATTCTGCTCAAGCATCCTACCAGCCTTCCACTGCGGCGTCGGAAGGACGAAGTGCACTGCCGGTGTGTTGTATCACCCGGCAACCACGTAGACCACGTCAGGGCCTCGGGGTATGACTTCCTTTCCCAGCTCGAACCCGACCCAGACCCCATTCTCATTCGGCGTGCATTCGTGAGTCATCTGGAGAGTGAAATGAAACCATAAGCTGAGTTGTTGTCCTGGTGGTCAGGTTTTCCCGCGCAGAAATTTCATCATAAAGGGGGGAGGGAGGGTGTTTAGGAACATGAACTAGAGAGAATCAGAGCAAGACCTCGCCCATGTTCTCGCCTTCGAAGCCCAGCGTGCTGAGCTTCTTGATCCGCCCCTTGTCACGCGCCTTCTCCTTCTCCTTTCTCTCGTTTGCCAGGCCTTGAACAAGCTTAAGGTCGCCCGGCTCGTAGCCCACGGGTGGGTCGTCGTCCTTGTCGAGGTCGATCTCGCCCAGGAGGAGCACGTTCTCGCCGCGGACAAGGAAGATGCCGCGCTTGATGTCCGCAAAGAGGCCACCTTCGCGGGGCGGGTTGGCTTCCGGGTCCGGGTGGGCGTAGACGCGCTCGACGGTGTCTTGAAGAACGAGATTGGCTGAGCAAAGGGGAGGAGAAGAGCTCCAACGTCAGCCTTTTTGAATGTACAGCTTTAGGAGGTGTTTGGGGGTTTGCCGTTGGCATACCGAATTGGTCCCAGCTACGAAGGACGCCGATCAGTTTGCGCCCGTCGCGCAGTGCAACCATGAGCTTCTCTGACGGAAGGTTAGCGTTTGGTGTCGCGAAGAGTACCGCAGCACTCATGCGGCCGAGGCTGCCGTGGTATTTCCCATACTGTCGGTCATGTCCAGCAGCTGCGCCGCAGTGGTGAACATCTGAGGCGGGAGCTGAGGGGTCTGTTGGGGAGGCGGCGCGCGGCCGCCGAGGACGGGCTGGGGCCCCTGGGGAGGGGCATCGGAGATGTTGAGGTTTTCCATTGTTATCTTGTTGTCATTGGTATGTGGTAGTTATTGCATTCGGGCCTGTCCCAGTCCATCGATTTGGGCGCAAAAAGAGGGTGCGAGGCGAATGCGATGCAGCAAAGCGAATAGGTAGATTATAATGTGCCGCCCAAGGACATCATCAAGAGGGGTTTCGCACGCTCGTTTGTAGTTGACCTCAATCTTCTCGGTACGGGCAATTGTGCTTCGGTCGCTTCTTTTTGTTCAGGAACGCTGGGTGTGATCGATCAAGCCATCATCATCGTGGGGTCCATCCCTGGTACGGCTTGGTGGGTGTGGCGGTGTTCTAAAAGGTAATGCCTGACCTTAGCTAGATTGTGGCATCGGAAGGCCTGTTTTTGCGTCATCCGAAGAGGCACAACCTTAATAAGGAATACCTATCAAAGCAGGAGCCGCGTGGAGCTGAACCGCCCCGGCAGAGACCGCAAGCACGGATCGTTTGCTGGTGGAAGGTCAGCGACTAAGGCACGTGAAAGGCGGGGCATGAGTCAATCCCTGCTGTCAAAATTTCTGATGATCTCAGATGCATGCGGGGCAGTCGCAGTTCCTGACGGTACCTTGGGTGTTTAGGTGTTTGGATCAGGTCTTGGAAAAGGTCTGGTCACACGAACCCTCAAAGGGCTGCAGCTTTCTTACTTCTAGCTTCGTGTTGTGTCTTTCTCACGATACTGCTCTCTGCGGACTATTGCGTTGGTCTATCTATAATCAAAGAACCATTTTGTCTCGCGAAGTGTCCCCAACAGTTCCAAAGAGCACTGGCTTTAGTCATAAGTAATCATGACTGCCATGAAAATCCTCCCGCTTCGCCATATCTCAATTGCAATTCTGCTCTTTGATGCTTCCCATGCCAGTCCTGGGCCGCCCCTTTTGATTTTCGTCATCTATAGCAAGCAAACCATCAACGCCCATGTCATAATGCAATTATTTTTCTTTTCTTGTTTTTCTTTTCCTCGGCGGGTTAGTACGAAAGTTGTTTCGTCTGTAAACCGAATGGAGCCAACGAATCACTACGTGTGGTCTTCAGGGCCATCATCTCCTCTATCGGGAGTCCAGGAGCCTTTGGCACTCGCAGGTTCTTCGTGGTCCAAATATCACCGCAGGGACGCATCTTTGTTTAACGACAGCGGTGACCTTGGCAGTGTAGTGCACCGTGGAGATGTCTGTTTGCGCTTGGAGCCAGTAGCAAGCAAAAGCCAAGGAACCTCGGGCGTCGATGCGCCGGGTGCGTATCATGACTTCTTCATAGTGCACCTTGTCAATGCCTCGAGGAGCTCAGGTCGAGCTGCCAACGCATCTTTGGCCTGGGCATATGTCATCCACTGGCGTTCCCTCTTGTGGCTTTCGGGCCAAGCTTCCTCTTGCGCTGTGACGGTAGCCTCGTAGAACCTATACAGGGCCTTGGCCGAGTCTTTGCTAGAGTGCTTCGGTGCTCTCGTCTCGACGATGTCTCCCAAATCATAGTCGATCTCGATAGTGATGCCTGCTTCTTCCCAGGCTTCACGCGCCGCCGCTTCGGTGCACTCCTCGTCTGTCTCCCAGCCGCCCTTGGGCAGTACCCAGCCCTTCCGGCGGGTGGACTGGATGAGAAGGACGTAGCGCTTGTCCTTGGTTAGGGGGACAACACCAGCAACCAAGCGCTCGCCTTTGGAGTTGTAACCTGCGATGACCAAGTTGTTAGTGGGTCCCGCGCAGCGAGCAGGCGCACCAGGGTCGGGGAGAGAGGCTCAGAATGGGAGGGGTATTGCCTCTGCCCCGTTTGCGCACTTACGCTGCTTGCTTCTTCCCGTGCGTGACTCCATCGTCCGCTCCTTGTGAGAGGAAGCCATCTCGGAAAGCTCGTCTGTCGCGGGGTTTGTTGTGGAATGTATTTAGGGTCGGTTATGGTGGGGGGCTGCTCTGACGTGCGGTGGCGGTAGGTCCGGCAACTTTTTTCCCTCGCAAGATGATTTGCAAGCCCAAATCTGTCCGGGCGGCGGTGGGTGTCGGGGTTCGATGCGGGTTCAAAGGTTTTTCAACGACATGATCGCGCTTTTTTAAAGTGGTATGAGCTGTTGGTATTGGGGAAGGGTGCGATGCCGAATCACACGACAGCGAGAGAATCCTGAGTGAATCGCAGGTTGTTGGTGCGTGTTGTAGCTTCGAACGAGGCTCGGATTTGAAGACCAGTGGCAGCTACCAGATTTCTCTGCGAGATCTGACCAGGGCAGACCCCAAGACGGTGTGATCGTAGGTGCGGCGGCAGCGGCAGCGGCAGCAGCAGAGAGCGAGGGAGTGAAAGAAAGACCAGCAAAGGGAACGCTCGGATGGATTCACCACCACGATGGAGAAACGAGTGGGACCAGCCTGTGTCGGGCCAGCAATCGCACGTTTCCGGCCAAAGGGCAAACCTTGACCGTACCGAGTCACTCAATGGCTTACAGAGAGCGAAGTCGGGGTAAGGCAGACAAGTGTCGGCCGGGCGATGGAGATAGGACAGAAGAGCAAGAAAACTCGTCGTCTGGCCGGTTCTGAGTGACAAAGGTTGCTTGTTGTAGACCAGAGAGGAGACGGAAAGGAGGATGAGGCGGAAGGACGCGGCGTCAGATATGACTGAGGCACGCACCACCGAGTGACGAAAGACCCTAGTGAGAGGGTAAAAGATGGGTATTGTATTTTTTGGCTCAGGAGCTGGCCGGGCAGCAAAGGTATTCAACGTGGAAAGCGAAAGAAGTCAAGGCCAGGATGGGCGTAGGTTGCTCAGGCGGCGGTAGTAATAGTAGCTGGGAGCTCTGGTGCAGGCCAGAGAGTGGCATGTCTCGTGCCATAAGAGCAAAATTGGGCGGGAACGGGCTCCAGGGGAAATTAAAGTTGATTTATATACTTAACCCTTTGAAGGCAGAGCTTGTGCCTCCAACAGCCCGCGGTACAGGGCAGGGGGGGGGAGACTACTGAGGTGGTCTAGCTAGCTAGCAGGCTACGCCGGTCAGAGAGGGAAAAAAAAAAGTGAAGGTAGATGGGAGGTCAGGGTATGATGCCAGGCTGGGGACGGAAAGGTAAGGTAGGTTGGTGTGTGTGTGAGAGAGAAGGGAAAGAAAGTGTGGTGTGGCTGCGGCGTATGGAAAGGACGAGCAGAGCAGCCAAGGTGGGCAGCAGTAGGTGTTCCGGAGCAGAGGCGTGAGTTGAGCGTAAAAGAGCCGACCAAAAGACAGAGAAATAAAGGTAAATAATTAAAAAATAAAAATAAAAAAATCAACAGGGTGTGGCAAGGACAGGCAGGAGATGGGGGTGAGAAGTGACATGCATGGGGAAAGCTCCCCGTTGGTCGGTCTCTCTTCCCTGGGTTTCTGGGATTCAGTCAGGGCAGGTCCGCAGGCTGAGGCAGGGAAGCTCAACCTGGCATTTTGGGAAGGGACGGGAACGAACAGGAAAGCGCGGGCTGGTAAGGTATCTGTACGAAGTACAGCGTCCGATACCTTTCTCTCTGTGTTTCCTCTTCTGTCTGTTTCTCTCTCTATCTTAGTAAGTTAGGTCCCTTTCCCTTTGACAATCCTCAAAATTCTAGAAACAACCTTGACGCACATTGTCCCGACAACATACCACATTTCGGGATCACTCGAGCAACTTGAAAGGTACCTTACTCCCAGGTGCAGTGGGAAAAGCAGATGTCTGCTGGCTGGCTGACTGGCTGGGTACGTAGGTACATGACTTGCGGTCCAGAATTCAACGACAATGCCGCTAATCTTCCTTGAGCAAGTTGATGGGATGGATCCAGGTCCCCCGTTTACCAGTCACCCCGTCTCGCCATCCACGCCCAGAGGTCCAGGCCCAGTGTTCCAGCGCTTCCTTTCCATCGGCCGCTTTCAGCCAGTCCGAAACTCGTCACGCCTGGCCTGGCTATCCAGTATCCCCACGAGCATTTCCTCCTCATCTTTAGACTTCTCAGGCCTACGGGGTACGCAGAACGAAGTACATATCTACATACCATGCCCACTATTCGTCGACATCGCCGCCGGCGCACTCGAACCCTCGAGCACAAGCATTGGATGCCAAATGTGCCGCATGCCCTGCAGGCTCGGCATCCACTGCACTTGCGGCAGGCCATGTTCCCAAAAATGCGTTAGAGGAGTGGGGTGCTGCAGCCAGCGGAGGAGGTGATGGGGCTTGAGAGACTGGCCCCATCAAATCCAGCTCCAGCGACCTGGACGTTCCCTCTCATTCTCATATTTGCGGCTTGCCCACCGTATCGACGTTGCACTGCTGTGCTTCCTACACAGTACACCGTTTGTCGCCACTACCTCTTCAGTTTCTTACCAATGGACAGAGTACATCTGCGCCTGTGGTTCAAGTTGTCAGCATCAGCCTCTAAAAAGTCCACCTCTGTCATCAGGTCTGAAGACTGCTAACTGATACCTCGCCTTATCTGAACGGCTCGTGTGTGCACTTGGAAAGTCTTTCTTTGAAAGTTTGCTCGGCATTTCTAAGGGTTGCGACTTGCAAAGAGCACCTGAGGGTTACCTAGCCTTCGGAATCAACTAATCAACTAGTAATCGGCCATGCTACCAATGTTGAGACCGTCTCTAATGTCGCTTGGCACGAACACAACGGTTCTTCTCCGTTCCATCTCTTAGACTCGGCTCAGCCAGGCAGAGCCGGGAACCATTGGCATCACCCAGAAGTACACTGTACAGCACCACAAGTTCTCCATTGCAATCTGTCGTTGTCTTGGCCCCCGGGCCAAGTGATGCGACGAACAAGCATCTCGCTGGCACAGGTGTCCAATGCAAGCCACGCCGTGTCGCTCCGACTAAAACAAGCAAGTGCAAGAGCGTCACTAAGGCCAGCAGCCGCCCGTGTCCTCGTGGTCCAGGAATCAGGAGACGCTGCCTAGGAACTTGCAATGGAAGACCTATTCGATTCGCCATGTGCTTTGCGTCCGCTATATGTAAGCATAGGTTCCTCTGACTCGACAAGACCAGTGGGATTCTTTGCTGAACAAAGTCTCCCCAGACAACAGAGGGACGCAATAAACCGTACAACGGCCCTGGCCAACTCAAGGGCCTCCTTTGAAGTGCGAACAACTGGCGGGTAGAGGCCGCTTGACTTGTTTCTGGGCTGAACAAGGGGGCCCCGACTGAGGATTGCGTAGAATTCTCTCGGGGGCACAACCTGGAAGTGATTGCCAAATCTTCAACGGGGACCGACTCATCCGCAAGCTGCTGGGCTGCAGGATGGCAGCTCCATGCTGGTGACGTTGGCATGCTCACTTTGGATTCTCAGTAGCCTGGCATTGTCGTTAGGTGTCGGCAGGAATGAAACCGAGCCTGCGAGGTGGCCTTCAGCGAAGAGTGATGAGCTCACACACCCAGATCAAATAGCTACTTGGCTGTTGCCAAAGCCTTCCATCACCAACACCATCACACCTAGAATCGAAGCCTTCTATGGCAGCTCAATTGGAGCCCAGGTGTTGTCTTACATTCTCGGTGTCAATTTGCGTCGAGAGTGAACTCATTGCGGCGAGTTCTGATTGGCTTTTGAAAGCCCTGGTGTGCCTTGCCAGTGTCTTCCACAATGTCCACGCTCAAGAAAACGTCTACAGCCCATTGAGAATTCCAGTGTAAATTGTGAGGTGTGGACACATGACAATGACCACAGGATATTGGGACTGGAAATCTAGGATCCTCCGATAAAATGTGCAAACTGCGTGGTTACTGTCCCCCGATGTCCGTCTGAAATGAAACCAAAATCATTCATCTGTGGCTCTCTAGCGAAGTAGCTCAACCACGAGCTCAAAGGAGGGGTGCGTCCACACTCACACCCATCGCAACTGGTTGTATCTCAGACGTTTGACGGGATGCATCCCACACTGCATAGGAACTGGAAGCATGCTGGCCACTCATGTTAGGGATAACTCACCAACCAAAATACTCTTTCTTGTCCAGGATAGCACTTTGACGTGGGGTTGCAACTTTCGCCCAGGGCCACCGTGTGCGAGTTGAACAGCCAAGGAAGGACCTTCTTGATGAGTTAGTCCGATGCTGACCATCACGATCCGTTGCCCTTAAGGTCCTCGAAGAAGGGCTACGCATCCGAACCTACCTACCTTCAGGCCTGGAATCCTCGGCCGATAGGTTGTTCAACCTGGTGGGTTCGTGCACTGGAACGCAGCTCCCGCTCTTCCATCGAGTTCTAGGACGGAGGTACGGATACAACCCCAAGCAATGCGACGAAATACAACACCCCTAAAGCTCACTTGCATTCACCACCGATCGTATCTCGATGCCTCATTGCTACCTACTTAACTTAGGGCCCATGACGGTTGGTCTTGCCTCCTGATGCTACAGCTAGTACGCTCACTCGACTGCTACCATCAGTAGCATTTTCAGCTTGAAACTCCCAAGCCGCACCGTCTACTCAAGCTATCGCATATCAACTTCTTATCCAGGTGCCTTTCTCGCGTCATTCTCCGATCCGACAGAGCCGCCGCTGCCTCATCCTGGCATGTCGTATGCGACAATCCTTCGGGCTAACGAGATTGCAGACCTAATGGTGTAGTCATCTGCCGTGAGGTAGGGTAACGCTGCCTGTTTGCATTACCCATGCTCCAGACTCTGAGCTCCTGCATACCCGTGCCTCCATTGTCGTCGGGCAACTAACCAGCAGATACAGACAGCAAACAGAGAGCGGCGTATAGCTAAACCGAACCGGCGCTTTCCGGGTCAACGCCTACAACTCAACTTACACGGGCGTCGACGAGCTGGCTCGAGTCAAAGAGCAGAGTGTCTACGTTGGCAGACAAGATACAAACAGACTGGGACCAGCAGGCACAATTAATGGGGCGGTAAAGGTGAGGCAAGCGCGCGAGCAGGCAGACAAACGCAACGTCGTCATACCTCTTTTGGGGGGCTATTTGAGGTCACATAATGGATATTGACTGGCCACTGCAGACTACAAATACATACCGATTCATGTCACAAGCAGGTTCCTCACAATTCCAAGGGGAGAGCCTCACTCGCATCGTATTCACGCATATTCCTCTGTCTTCGAGGTTGTCAGACCGCACTGCGCCAAGCGCTAGACAACAGACGTCACGGCCAACCAGCTGGCAATTCACAGCACTGCAACTAAGGAAAGAAAAAGGCCCTTAGGTCGTGTCTGGCGACTAACCCCTCACTCCATCTCAAGCTTCGCGACCCCACGCTTCCCACTTCAATGCCGCAAGGGGTGTGAGAGTTCCACCAGCAAGTACACTTCCCGACTGGGCTTCACTGCATCAAGTCGAATCCCTAGCCGAACAGCGCCATCCGTCAAAGAGGGGATAGAAAGACAGCGGCTCAACCCTCGACTCTCACCTTGTCACAGTCACAGGATACATAGCGTACCCCTCCTCTCCGTCGGGCGTTTAGACGTCAACCCGCGTGCCCTCCTCGGAAGCCATCACTTCGAATATCAGCCAACGTTTCGTACTTGCCTAGCACTAGTCGAGCTGGCTGCTTCCCTGGCGCGTTAGTAGAGCGAGCAAAGTCGCAGCAGACCAGACAGTCATGGACGACACAAGCATGCAGACCCCTGGCGATGCCTTGTCCTATATAACTCCAATCGGTGAGTCCTTCGTCCTATTCTCTCCTCCAACCATCTGCCCCCGTGCAACTTCTCTCAGCCGCCGTTGGCTCGTGGCATTTTATGGGGTAGCTCCCTTGGTCGCTCTGTAACTGGCTTAGTTGCCTTTTTCCTCGCGCATCTGCGCCGATCGATGTCACTGCATCCTATTCCCAGTCAGTGCAGTCACACAAACCTCTGACTTCAATCCTTCAAAGTCGGATCAAGTTGGGGGTCTGTCGGCACGCCATGGATGCGTAATCCCACGCTTGCCAGCCCACTTGCCTCCAAAACTCGGGATGTGTCCTCATGATACGTACATTGAACCCGAAGGCACGCGATTGGCTTTTTCTTTTCGTTCCCTGCCCCCCTTTTCTCTACTCTCACTCAGCCTTCGAGGCCCTACGAGAGATGTTTCCATTGTTTGATACTCAAATCTCGGAAACGCCTCCAGGGCTACGAAGATTGGAAATTGCGCTTAGCTAGCTGATACTCGAACAAGACTTCACACCATATGGTTGGCTAATACAAGCTTAGGATATTCTAATTCATCGCGCTGTGGTTATTGTGGCCGCCAAGGCAAGAGTCAGTCAAAACGTGAATGCCCTTCCTTGTTTCTCCATGTCGTCTCGTGTAAGCCGCACAAGGGCTTGCGAAATAGTGACTTGCGTTCGGCCACTGTGGGAGTCTACGATCTGATCCGTCACTAACTTGAGCCTCTACTCGACAGGCTTCTCTTACTATGCCAAGTCCACATCTCTTACTCCTGAATACTACCAGACCCTGCTGGATCACTACTGGAGACGCTCCGGGACGACTCTCTACCGACCGGACCAGCTCCACGCGTGCTGCGTTCACTACACCCTCCGCTTAGACTCCACCCAGTTCAAGCCCACCCGAGATCAACGACAAACCGTCAACCGGTTCAACAAGTACCTGACGGGCGATGCCTACATCAAGGAGGCAGCTCGTCTCCACCCTCGGTCACGCGAGCAGGCAAAGAAACGGGACTCTGAGTTCGGCTTGATCGAGAGGGTACACGAGGCGGAATATGACTTCTTGCAGTTGCCTCCAGAGCCCGCCCACGTCTTCACCGTTACCCTGGAAGATGACGTCTTCACCGAGGAAAAGTACCAAGTGTATGAGAACTACCAGCGAGTCGTTCATGGGGAGGAGCCGGCCGACATCACTCGCCGCGGCTTTCAACGCTTCCTATGCGAGTCTCCGGTTCAGCGCAAGACAATCACGGCTGCCGACGGCAAAGAGCAAAAGCTGGGTTCGTTCCATCAGTGCTATCGTTTGGATGGTAAACTGGTAGCCATCGGTGTGCTAGACCTGCTCCCTCACTGCGTTTCCGCCGTATACTTCCTCTACCATGAGTCCATCCACAAGTTTGCACCAGGAAAATTGGGCGCGATTCGTGAGATTGCTCTGGCACAGGAAGATGGCTATCGTTACTGGTATCCCGGGTTCTATATCCACAGTTGTCCCAAGATGCGATACAAGATGGACTACACGCCCCAGTACATCCTGGACCCCGAGACGCTGGCATGGGATCTCATGGACAAGAGAGTTACGAACCTTTTAGACAATAAGCCGTACTTAAGCTTATCGAAGGAGAAAGCTGATGGACAAGCTGCCGAAGGAGCCAAGAATGATTCAGATCAGCCTGCGGCCGGCCAAGAAGAGTCTACAAAAGATCCCAGGGACAAGGCGGATGACGACGATGACGACACGTTCTTATTCAACACTGGTATGCCGGGTATCATGTCTCTTGACGAGATCCGCTCACTCGAAGAGATGGACCATATCAAGCTGCGGATAGACGGCTCTGGACTTCTATTTGAGACGGGCGATCTAGTCGCGTGGGAGCGTCAGGATGTCGGGGTGAGCGGATGCCTCAAGGCTGGTATTGCGGAGCTGGTGGCGGCCCTGGGGCCCGAGTTGTTGGAGGATATGGTGGTGGACTTTTGGAATCCTAATCTGTGAAGGATTAGACCGACTTATGCTGTTGGCTGTGTACATATCTATCTGCACTGCACCTAGTATCATGTTAGAGCGAATGCAGGAAGAATAAGCGTTGGAAGTGGGATTGTATGCCTTGTTAATTGTTTCGTGAAACCCTGCGAGACCGTATGTCTTGCAACTGCTCGTATTGTTGCTATCGCTCTTCCATCTCCCATCCCGTCTCAACCCAGCTTCACCTTCTTCACGCACCACGCACAACCTCGATCATGTCTTATTTAATTTCCAGCTCTACAATGGCAAGTCATCACCAGTGTCGTGAGCGAGGCGCTCTTGGCACAGGTCCTATGCGGGCTCCCCTTGGACAAGGGCAACGTCGCCAAGGAAGACCATTCTATTTCCCCCCTCCGCGCACTAAACTGAGAAAAAGCGCACGCCAATCCGACTGCAATGATTACCTCACATGGACACGCCAAAGGAGTCGGCTTGACTACCAAGACCGAAGCTGAGATTCATCCCAGCATGTACACCAGAGATGTAGCTTATCCTATGGCGGAGAATGGGTGAGCTCTTTTGTCAATCTGACGTATCACAATTTTTGATACGTGATGTCCCCAAGTATATCTTCCATCATAGACACATTATTGTAGATGAGACTGATGAGTCTCACTTGCTACTACGGGATGGTAGATGTACTTGTCTACATAATTTTGAGTAAGATAATATCACGCCTGTCATTGCGTTTGGGATCAGGGTTACTCCAGCTGATGATGCTGAAGTGGGGGGAAAGTCTTGAGACGTCGTTACTCCAGACTATATCCGTAGAACATCGCCAACCACCACCCGACAAAGATGTAGCTGGCGATATCTCAACTAAGGTAAGGTAGGCAATAGTATTGAAGGCATGAAGTCGCAAACACGTTGGCCCGGTAACTTGCATTACCTAAGACACGTTAGCTGTGCTCGTCGTAACTACCTTAACCTAAGGTAAGGTAACTTTCAGGAACCTCAAACGGTCTTATCTTATCAGGGTCCGCAATCGCCCCCACCTGATACATGGGGGAAAGAGCAATGACGAACTGCCCACCTTTTCAACCCGCCCACCCTCGGAGCACTCACAGCGGTGCCCCCAGTCCATCCTCCGTCGCAGCGTTGCGCCTCGAAACCGAGCCGGTTCAGGCACGAGACCAAGCCTACCCTACATTCCTACCTCCGTCACCGATCACCGGTATCGCGTGTCTGACTGACCGACCGAACTAGCTCCGGACCCTCGTGCACTCAATACCTCACGGGTACCTTGTTCGCCTTTCTCCTTTGCCATAGATACGCACCCTCTTCTCAACGAAGTCGGCTCCCCTTCCGACATCCTCCCAACTTACGAGACAAACATACCGTTGCCCAATCGCATAGTCACATCGCATCGTCCTCTTCTTCAAAATGGGCGGCAATACAAGTAAAGTCACCGCCCAGGACAAGTACGTCCCCAAGCTCTTGACCCTCCCGAATATCGCGCGCGCGCGCATGCGACACCCCATGATGCGCAATGCTGATGCGCCGTCACACATCCATCCTCACCAAACTCCCACCCGCTAACCTCGAACCCCCCCCCCCCTCTTCTAGGGCAATTCTAGACATGAAGCTCCAACGCGACAAGCTCCACCAGTACCAACGCCGCATCACAGTCCTAACAGATAAAGAGACGGCCATCGCGAAGCAGATGCTCGCAAAGGGCGACAAGCCGCGCGCCTTACTCGCCCTCCGCCGCAAGAAATACCAAGAGTCCCTGCTGCAAAAGACGGATGCCCAGCTCGAGCAGCTCGAGAAGCTCACGTCTTCGGTCGAGTTCGCCATGATCCAGAAAGACGTCGTGTTCGGTCTGCAGCAGGGTACCAAGGTGCTCAAGGAGATCCACTCCGAGATGGGCGGCATCGAGCACGTGGAGAAGCTAATGGGCGAGACGGCTGATGCTATCGCTTACCAAAGGGTATGGAATCCTACCACCACGGTGCTAGGTTCATGTGGGTTTTGGAACATTTGGCTAACATGCGTCTTTCACCTCCTCTACAGGAAGTCAGCGAGATGCTCGGCGGCCGTATATCAGTCCAAGACGAAGAAGAAGTCGAAGACGAGCTCGCCGCCCTCGAGGCCAGCGTCGCCGCCGAAGACGCCATGCGCAACCCGCCCACGCTCCCCAAGGTGCCCGACACGAAGCTGCCGACTCCGCAGGGCGAAGAGGAAGAGGAAGAGCCCGAGGCGCAGCAGCCGATCCGGACGAGGCAGGCCATGTTGGCTTCATGATGGGGTGTCTGTTTGGCACCGTCATTTATTCTTAGCAACATCTTTCTTACCTTTACGTTCTTGATGATACAGGGGGCTTCAAGCATGCGCGGGAACTTTTTTTCTGGTTGCATTTTCGCGGAGTTGAGGTTTGGAAGCATGTCTTTTCTTTTCACGTTTATCTATAGTTGCCTTGCTTACTTCCATCTCTGCGCGCGCGGCAATATGACACTAGACTAGGGGCGGCGGGAAAGGTTCGACATGTTTGCTTTTTTTTTTTGGTTGGATTCATCAACTACACCGTTGCATTAGTTCGGAATGTGCCGTTACTTGGCTGCTAGAATCAACTCTCAGGGGGGTTCAATACATATGAGCTGATGATCACATCGTTATTACCTCAATCTTGACTTCACAGAATGATGATGGCTTGCTCAAGATACGCTAGCTGAATGCCGGTTTCACTGCCGTAAAGAAATGTCGCCATGCGGTACCTACATTTATTTCGCTTCTCCCGCATTGTGCTCTTCTGACTTGCGAGAAGACACACGCGTACGTCTCCAGGGGTATGGGGAACGTGGCAATGCCTAGAGACCGCATTGGGATCATGACAAGCAAGGCTCATTTTGTTACCCGCCGACCGGTAGCGGCGTCTATCTCATAGGGCGTATTGTCGAGAGAATACCAGCAAGGCGCGAGAGAGCGAGAAGAGGGGACCTTGACCACGGAGAGTATCTATGTAACAGGATATCCATGACATAACACCACCTCCGTGAGCGCATTTCTAAGTGTTCTCTATGGCACCTAGATTCGGGATTCCAGTCACCGTACTTGCACCCTGCGTGGTATGGAACAGATGATGGTGTTGACATCAGTTCTAAGACTAATAGGAGAGCTATTATATACTTCATGCATCAGGGAATATAATACATCTATTCAATCCAGGAACGGAGGCTCGGTAAATATCCCTTAGAAATTCCATAGCTAATCGCCTCCGTATTCCGAACTAAATATTCACATAACCCCCTCTCTATCCCCCAAGGCTCCTACCTTCCCGGAGCATCTTATATATACCCCCTCAACTCCATCCCAGTCACCAGCCAGCAGGCGCCCGTCTAGGTCGACGGGTCAGATCAAACTGGCTGGGTGGTGGAATGGTTCATGGTCAACAATCAATGATACGCCAACCAGCCTACTAGACGACAGGCTTAGCGAGCACCCGAGTTCGAATCCCAGCATGAGCACCAAGAGATGTAGGCCCCCAGTTCAGCACCGGGGGGGGGGGGGGGGTGAACTCTTTTTGGTTTGTGCTATCGTAGACGGTCTGGAGGAAGAGCTGACTGGGCGTTGCATTCCTAAGCTCACCCTTCCTTTCGCAAGTACAGGAGCGGTTAATGGAGTGGTTTGCCAGACTGGATGCTCAGGGTACCTAGTCAAATCGGTTCAAGAGGCAAGCAACAACAAGTGTCACCACCCCCTTTGACAGTATTTCAAAGATTTTCATAGAGCCTGGAAGAGGAAGTTGTGATGATTTGTTCTTCGTACCGACATCATTCTCTATGATGGCGTGATCGGCTGGTCGTTGTCTGCCGCAGACCCCATGGATATCCTCAACATCATGGCAAAACTTCTACCACACCAAGCCTGTGTACGCGCAGGACAGCGAAGCGTTGTGACCGACTGCAATTATGGACCGAGCTGTTATGTGCGTGGCATTCGTAGTGCAGGGTAATGCTTCGTAGTCAGATTAGACCAGCGAAATCATAAACTTATGTACCGGTGCTCACTGTGTGATGAAGGCAATGTGGTTCTTTAACATGTTCTCATTCGAACGGGGTCGTCCCATCCGTAGTCCTTCACCAAGACGCAGACGAGAGCAGTTTTAGCTCATCGACCATGGGTATCATTTCTAACAACTCCTTCCATGCATCCTCCCCAAGCTGTCATTGAATGACCAACTAACCCCTTCCGTCCCATAACATAAAAAGACTTATACCTTGCCCGTCCGTCCACGACGATCCTCAAAACCCAAAACCTTCGTGGACAGATGCTTGTAATCCCTGTACTCCATATACATGCTGCCGTCCCCGTTCCTTTTCACACATGCTTGCATAACCATTCCACTTATGGTAAGTGTTGGAAATCTACTCCGCACAGCCATCACCTACTCAAGCACGATCACGTCGTCATTGGCGCGCGGCCACTGGCGCGGCGGTGCGCGAGGTGGTGATGGCCGATATCTGTCGGACCTGAACGGACCATCAAGCTGCTGGGCCGGCATGGCGTGTCGATGGACGGGAACACCGTACGCTCCCTGCATCGGATGATGTTGCTGATGCTCATATTGCCTATGCGTGAACTGGGTTAGTTGCTAGATTTCGAGTGCTCTTGGTACTTGACTTACGCTCCGCCGTACGTGGGCGACGGGACTCCGCGCTGAGCAAGGCTGTCATTTCTGACCGCTTCCACACGTTCATAGCTGTGCGCCGGATAGGATACATCAGCTCGCGGCGGTCTCTCCACGCGCCTAACGTAGATAGCTTGCCCTGAAGGTTCAGCTGGTCGGTAAGGCTGTGGCTGGTGTGTAGCCCGGTGGTCATCGAGACGAGAACGTCCATCAATGCCACATGCAGAATGTCTGGGATCGACGACAGGGCGCTCTCTAAGCCGGAGGAAGCCCTCCTCTACCAATCCGTTCCGCTGATCAATATTGTTCTCCCGCAAGCGAATGAAGCCTTCATCCATTGAATTGAAACGTTGTGAATCCGGGCCACGATGGCCACGATCACGTCCAGGGCGATGGACAGCGAGAATCTCAGCATTGGGGCCAAATCTGTCCCGGACGCTTTCGCCTGTGCCAAGAACGACTGTACCTTGGTGAACATTGTGATCCTCAATCATAATGGGATTGGCTCTCTCTCCTGGAACACTGCCTTGACGTCGTCTCAGGTTGTTTTCTCGGTGGATGGTTCTGTCAGCGTAAATCTGAGGTCGGGAAGGGCCATGGTCTCGCACGGGCTGCTGATACACAAGTGGCCGATGGGAATCCTGTGGCACATTGCGATATAATGATTCAGGCGGCGGAACAACGTCCTGGCCATCACGCAAAGGTCTCGCATGGATGGGATGACTTTGGTGAATGGGGGGGGCTTGATGGACATAGCGCTCCTCTCGTACCAGTGGGCCACGGGGAGGGGAGTTCAGACGCGGGTATAGCTCGTCACCTCTTCGGTCTGTGAATTCCACCACGCCACGGGAATAGCGTGATGGTGATCTCACGCCGTCAGGGGATCTTGGCTCAATGGAAGGGTGGAGGAAATCTTGCAGCTGGTGGCTCTCTCGAGCGCGGGCACCTGCGTGGTTGGGGGGTGCAGGAGGCAGCCTCATCTGCGAACCCGCATGATTGATATGCTCCATGGGGGCTCTGTTCTCGATGAATTCAACAGGCGGACCCTGTTGATGCGCTCCGTGACTAACGGAGCTGCCCGCCTGGTTCATGCGATCATCAGGCCCGCGCTGCCGCTGTCTGGCGTTATCCCAGGCAGCGTTTGCAGCAGCCTCATAACGACTGAAGTTACGCTCACGATGCTTGGCCCGTCTGCGTGCCTTTTTGTAAGCCCTCCTGGACATCCCGGGCGTGGCAATAAGCATCGGAGATCCTGGATGCGATGGTATCGCTGTCGACAAGCGCTTATCGCGGTTAGCGACGTTCTGGGCTACGGCCGGTGTCGACAATCTGCCAATGTTGTTGGACCTGGTGATGAGTACCTCTGACGAGTCGGAATCAGGCTCCTCGTCCGAGTCCTCCTCGTCAGAATCATCGGAGAGAACCACTACCTCGCGAAGAATTTCGTCAAGCTGGTCGCGGCCATTCTCGTCGTCGCCTCGCCACTTGACGAGAAAGTCAAGACAGAGCTGCTCTGTCACTCGCCTGGCATTGTGCCAGGTTGTCTCCCTAAGAAGCTGGTCATATCTGGTATGGTTATGCCGAATGTGTGCCAGGACGGCAAGCTGCACTCGCCGCGACAGTGATAGTTCCTGCTGGAGCCCTACGACTAGGTCGCCTTTGAACTTTGTTCCCTGTAGTAATTCGTCAACACCTACTCATTTCATCCGTAAACCTCACGGCATCACGAACCTTCTGGAAGGCATGATCGATGATCTGCTGCCTATCGGTATTCGGAATGCGAGGGAATAGCTCTCGTAGGGCGGCGTCTGCCTGCTTGTCGATGTCGTTTTGTTTCTCGGGAATCTTCTCAACCTGAGCGTCGCCTTGACCTATGAGTTCCGGCTCGTTGACACTGTCCAGTCCTAATTCCTCTAGCGCCCTGTCCACGATATACTCGCGAATATGGTGTCCGACGCGGTGTATTTGTTGGCTCAAGTCCGAGGCGTTGTTCTTGGCCATGGTCTAGATCACAACTGGTCAATAATCGTCTCCAACGGCTGCTAGTTTTCGTCATCGTCTTACCACAATGTAGACCGAGGCCCCCGTCTCTCTCGAGATGTCCTTGCATCGTTCGGTCAGTTCAGGATTGCCAAGGGGGATATGCCTCATCCCGGGAGGCGGGGTTTTATTCGTTGTAATCTGGCGCAGTGTTGGTTAGTCCGGTGGACGACAAGTGTCGTGGGAACCGCCTCGGCGCGGCATACCTGGAAGAGCAAAGGCTTCTTCTTGTCTTTGTTCTCGATGAACTCGAAATATGACTGGTGTTTGCTGTTGCTGACCACAGTGACCGGCTTCGCGGCGACGAGTCCTGGCGGCAGCGGTTGGCTTCGGTCAATCGCTTTATTGATCTTGCCAGCCTTGCGATGGCGGTCCTTGGCCGTGGTACCCGGGCCGGGGTGTGGTTTCTTCTCTCTCCCCATGTCTGATGTTCCTCCTTTGTTATCAGCTTACCATGGTGGTTCGAAGACCAAGTGCCGTCTAATGCTGTCCCTCGGGAAAAGAAAAGAAAAATGATGGAAAACGACAGTTAGTGAGAAGGATGACAATCGTTGTCTCGCACCAGAGCCAACACGGAGACGGGGTGGTGTTCCAAGTCAAGGACGTCAGGCCAGGAAGGCGCGTCTGCAAAGTTGCACCTTCTTCCCGAAGGCGTCGACGTCAGCAAGCAGGTACTTGCTGCGCACGAAGAAAAGCAGTGATCACGCAGAGCGGTAGACAAGAAGGAAAGTTCCAATTTCCAGTCAGCGGAGACTTGGAAATATGCGACTCGTCAAAAGCAGTTGCGGCAGGAAAGAGCTCGATGCACTCGGATAAGGGCGCGCGGACGGTGGTGCTTGGATGCTAAATGCGTGGAAGCAAAAGGTCACAAGTCACGACGGAGACGCCAGGGCTGGTTGAGGCAGAGTAGTGCCCGGTGAAGACGCAGACGCAGGAAGGCCCAAAAGAGGTCGGGTCGCAACTCGCATTCCTGCGAGGTACTATCGGCACGTGATGATAGTGGCGGGGTGCTGATGCACGGGCCCACCGATCTTCAGCCAGGTGCGCGAGCTTAGGCATGCTTAATTGCCTACCTTGTCTAAAACCATACACCGAGATTAAGCGCCCGTCAGGTAGGTACGAAGGAATCGTCAAGAGGCTGAGCCAGGGAGGTCCAAAAGGGTAAACCGAGGTTGTTTCAATCGAAACTTTACAAGAGCATGCGTCTAGACCCTCATTTGCTTAAGGCGCGCCGATGTCAAAGGCATGAAAAGCCATCGCATGCCGCATATTGGACTGCCTGAGGTCACCAAACGGAGCATCAAAGTCTTTTTTTTTTTTTTTTTTCGATAACTTGTCATTTGATTGCAGTCGAATCCAAACTACAACTTGGTTCCTGTCCTTGCTGTCATTCCATTTGTCCCAAATACGCTCGGTGGTTTACATTAACCACCGAGTCAAAACGCCATCGACCATTATGTATGCGCTTGTTCAACTGTGATATTCACAGCTAGCAGATAGTTCATGCAAATCACCATTCCTTAGTTGTCGTCCAGGGAGTTGAGATGCTTCTTCGTGAATTCGAAGGCAGAGAAAAAGATGGCGTTGACGACGCATGAGCGACCCATTGATACCCCCAGTCCGCGATACATATTTCGTTTGAAAAATTCAATCTTCGGGGGCGGCTCGACCTGTTGCCCTTTCGAGTACAAGAGAGAGTTTCGCTGGTAGATACTCTTTGCCGAGTCAATGGGGTCTGCCAGAGTATTAGCGTCACTTACCCGAGGTTCTTTTGCACCAGAAGCACATACATATCATTGCCCAGGATACTATCCCGCACATGCCTCCAGAGATGACAACCGCAAACTTGTTAGTCGTCGGGTGGTCACCACCAAAAGTTGTTCCGAGCTGCTTTCCGCTCTCGTAGACCATAAAGTAAATGGCCGTACCCAAAGTATCTCGTACTGGAATGGTCAGCTGAGGGTTCTGATGGGGTTGTACGCCTGGGCAGACTTACACAAGTGCAAGTTGAAGCCAGTGTAAAGCCCCAAGGCACCCCTATGACGGACAATGTTGCGCATGGTCTTGAAAGTGCCCTTGTTTTGGTAGCTTGCTGCAACCTGATGTCCATTGGTGGCGCGGCAATTCGCTTCCTTGAGCTTTTGCTGGTCCGACAACAAGACAGCCACCTGCGCGCTGAGCTTGGTCAGCTCAAAAGGGCAGGCGAGAAGCGTGATGCATGAGCCGGCAGTGGCGCCGGCGGCTCCAAAACAGGCAATAGAGTACAGATTTGGATATGTGCCTTTCTGATTCACATGTTGCAGCACATCGAATCCCAAGGCGTTCTTAACCCAGCCCGAGTAATTGTGTTTGGCGCGTTGGTAAATCGAAAAGGACATGGTTCGGACGAGTGTGATACTGGCCATCGGGGCAAGGACACCTAGTGAGGGGCAAAAGAAGGTTAGTCGACGGGATCATGACTTGAGGCGAGATGAGGGGTCGCGTGTACAAGGGAGGTGGAGGAAGAGGGACAGAGGGAAAGGGGGGACTCCTTACCCCGAAAGAAGCCTCTCAACTTCTCGGTGCGGTATGTATGCTTCACACAGTCGAGGAAGCCTTCGTATCTGTAGGTCTGCATTCGCGTTTTCACGCTATCGAGGGGAAAGGCGAGGACAGTCGAGAACATGCTCGACGTACTGGCGGCGATCTCGGTGCGGTAGCGCTTGACCAGCCTCTGCGGGCGCTCTTCCTGAGCTCGAGGCATGATCGCAGTCGGTTGGCGGGCCGGAACATGGTGTATTTGGTGATATTCGGCTTCTGTCGCTGGCATGCTTCTAGCAGTGACTAGATGGCAGCGCCTTCGGACGGCGATCTCGTGGGGAGAGATCAAGGTCTTCAGCGCGGTCGTGATACGGCCCTTTGCCAGTTGGGGTTTTGGTCCATCCAGACCGCGCAGCAGGTGGAGTTGTGGTGGTGTGGACGGGCGACAAACAGAGGGAGGTGACGGGGTCGCGAAGTTAAGAGGATAGACGGCGAGAAGCACCAGGGAAACAGAGACGATGATGTTGATGACGAGTCGAGCGGTCAGAGATGTGAAAAGAGCCGTCTAAGGCAATCTGGGGAATCGAGAGCTGAACCCCCGGGAATTGGCGCTGTTGTGCCCGCTAACCATGAGAGATTTGCGGGTTAAGATGAAAGAGAGAAGAAGGGAAGAAGCGTCGAAGAGCAAGGTAGGCGTGAACTACGGATACTTCAGAGGTAACTCGGATTGCGGGGTCGGCAGTGGGAATCTACGGAGTAGAAAGATACATCCGCATCACAGACTCTTGCATTCGTAGGGGCACCTCAGCTAAGTACTTAGTTAAAGGTACGATTACGGCCACAACTAAGGTAATACAGCACCCAACCTTGCCTTTCCCTGACCTCATGGCAAGCCCAGTCCAGCACCTGGTCCCCCCTCATCTTCCCCTTCTTACCTCAACTTGAAGTGACCGGGTGAGGTTCCGACTCTGCGATGGTTGTATCAGGAGGTACCTTCAAACCGACGACCACTCCAGAGCTGCAGGACCAGGGCAGTTCGTGGTGCGGAAAGCTGCATCCTTTCCGCACCTGGGAGGCCCCCCTTCGGCCCCGCTGAGCGACCAGTCGTACCATTGCTGATTGGTATCTCCAGGACGCACCTCACTTCGTAGCAGCAGCAGCAGCAGCAGCAGCAGCAGCACGCAGCAGATACCTTTACCTTAGTGCCTGGGTCCACTGAAACGGGACCAGGGCCCCGTTGGATCTCCAACGATTCTGCGCTTCTCATTTGTTCCTCCCGGTAACACCAATCAGCCCAGATTGGCCAGTCTTGCCATCTCAAGGATCCACCGTCACAAGCCAGACTGCCAGTGACGCCTCTCCCATTTCTCCCTGGTGGGCTATCTCGAGTGTCACTGAGTGTTTTCTCACCCGAGCTTTGGGGACATCGTACTTGTCCAAACAGACAACTCGGTCGACCACCTTACGACAACAGCGGGTCGGTTTCACGGGGCGAGCCATATTGTTTCCGAATTGGGTATTTTTGGTACTCAAAAACAGATCCCCAAGGGAGCCACTCTTTTTATATATCTCCCCGTACCGGCAAAGGGCCGACCACCACCGCCCTGGCGGCCGAGACTCTTGGCTCCGACACGGGGGGTGTACACGGGGGTTCGCCTCAACTCTCCCCCCTCAGCCCTCAGCTCAGTCCGTGAAGGTCTGGCACCTCACTACCTACCTAGGTACTCGCTCACTTCTCAACATTTGGGGCAGAACGCCCGCCATTGACGACAAAACGTCATTGTCTCCGAGAGGTGCAGTCATCTATCTAGGTACTCATATGGCCCTCATCAACCTTTCGACAGTTTTCTCTGTTGAGTGACACTGTCTCAAGATCTCTGGCCTCATTCAGCGAAACACTGAAGCAGCGATCCGCAAGAGGCGAGTAATAATGAGCTCAGAAACAGCAAGAACCAACATACAAGCGGGCGCCAGCAGCGCTTCGCCAGCAAATTATCGACCATGCAACCATCAACAGCTTAGGTAGATGTCTGCTCCAACCCTCACGTAGCCAAACGTGCTAGCCAACCACAGGTGAGCCGTTTCACTTGCTGACCCCGCGCATCTGCAGATCGCCCGCCTGGCGAATGGTCGCACCAGCGATCGTTTCTCTCCCCAACGCCAGTTTCCTCCAATGACTTACCCTCGGATATGAGAATACCTGCTGCATCGCGACGTCTCGGGCCTATCATGTTCCGTTCCGTCCTCTGCCTGCCGTCTTTCCACCCTGGCACCACAACAAGCCTCGATGCGTGGTATCTGGGCTGATGATCCCGCCTGGGCGTGCTGAAATGGGCCATTGACTCAAACCTGGGTCGGAGATGTCTCTATCAATGCCTGTGCTTACAGCCAGGTGGAACCGTTTGAGAGCCTCGGAGATGAGTAAAGTTGCACTCGTGGATGACAACCAGTGCAGGCGTGCGAGTAACAATTCGACCAAAACTACCGTGACTTGCTCGAGACCATCATCTCAGTCGAATGCCCATCGACTTATTCAGCATGTTGATCGTCATGTCATAGTGATTGTACACTGTGGCCTTCATGTTGTTGGCCTCTTGGATGCTAAATGATTCAACGTTAATAATCGCATCTCTCTCACAACGTAATAAAAAGCAAAACTTACACGTCCTTGCCCCGAGATTCGGATTTCTTGCGATAGCTGACCTTCCACGTATCCATATTCTGCCTCTCCCACGCTACGCGGACAAGGTTCTTGAGAACCTTGTGCTCGATACCGGCCTCTCTGCGAGCCGCCTGTATGAACCAGAGTGTTCTTTTGGAAACCTCCGGGTCCCATACCGCGTCTTTATCGCGGAAGGATGCTCTCAGCTGGTTGCGGACGGTATATCTGTGCGGCGGTGCGAACTGGACCGCTCGTAGGAGCTCACGGTAAAGATGTCTGTAAGCATGGATGATGGGTGTTTTATCCATCTTGGCCCAATTCAGTGTCCTTGGTGTAGGGAATGAGGTTCGTCGGAATGGAGCTGATTTTTGCGCTTCAAGAATTCGTCATTCAAATAGAGAAAAACAACTGTTTACTTGAGCATCCTGATTGATCGCACAGTCATTCTTTGAAAAAGTGAGAAAAGACCCTGGCATGAGCTCCCGGGAAGCTCAGTGACCATTGCAATTCAGGGAGGTGCACGGGCCACTTCAAGATTTCCACCCCAGGCACTCAGATCCGACCTCAACTCCAAAAAATTCCATCGCCGACCTCACACCAGACCATCTCAATCCGCCCTCAAATCCACCTCCCGGCCATCCACCATGGCTCCCCGACTGCCCTCGAGCTGCCTTCAGCTCCTTCGATCGACGACAACAACGATATCAAACACCTGCTCCGCCGCCGCCAATGCCTCGGCCGTCATCGCCCCACGCCTCCAGCTCCTCCCTTTCACCGCGAAGCGCGGCGTAAAGTACGGCTGGTCCACGGCGCCCAAGCGCAGCAAGCCCACCCGTTTCAACCAACCCACCGCCGGCCTCCCCGTCCTCACCACAGGTCCCGCCGCCGCGCTCGCCCGCCGCGAAAAGACGACGCCCCTCCGCACCGGCGTCCTCGCCGTCAAGAAGGGCATGACGGCCATCTACTACGGCAAGAAGCGCGTCCCCTGCACCGTCCTCCAGCTCGACCAGGTCCAGGTCGTCGCCAACAAGACCCGCCCGGACAACGGCTACTGGGCCGTCCAGATCGGCTCGGGCTCCAAGGAGCCGCGCAACGTCGAGAGGCCGATGCTGGGCTACTACGAGGCCAAGGGCATCGCGCCCAAGCGCCACCTGGCCGAGTTCAAGGTCCGCACCAAGGAAGGGCTGCTGCCCGTCGGCGCCCAGTTGTTCCCGGACTGGTTCCAGACGGGCCAGTACGTCGACGTCCGCTCCAACAGCCGCGGCATGGGCTTCGCCGGTGGTATGAAGCGCCACGGCTTCGCGGGTCAGGAGGCGTCCCACGGTAACTCGCTCAACCACCGTACCATCGGTACCACCGGTCCCTCGCAGGGTTCCGGTTCCAGAGTCATGCCCGGCAAGAAGATGCCCGGTCGCATGGGCAACGAGCGCGTCACGGTGCAGAACCTGACGGTGCTCAAGGTGGACAACGAGCTGGGCGTCGTGCTCGTCAAGGGCGCAGTCGCGGGCCCCAAGAATTGCATCGTTAAGCTGCAGGACGCCGTCAAGAGGAAGGCGCCGGCGCTTCCTTACAGACAGGACAAGTTGAAGGAGCTGCTGGAGGCCAACGTGGACGGCGAGGCGAGATTGCAGGAGGCCAGAGAGAGGCACTTGGTGCTGAAGAAGGAAAGGAAAGAACTCCCGGCACTTGTATAGATATCGTCCACCCTTATTTTCCCCCACTGTTGTTTACGAAAGTCTGTGTACTATACATGTTGTACATTTATCACACCCCTAAGAGAGGTGCATAGCTTTAGGGTCATTATCTCGCTCGACCCGAATTTCAACCGAAACGACTTGAACTACCTTGGCCCCCATGCATGCTTTTGATGACGATTCCCCTCAAGAAACTTCGAGGTGACCTCAGTGCTGCCGTATATTCAACGGTGCCCCTTTGTCTCCCCTCACTTGATATTCTGCCTGAACCCCCTCGTCTCCGCCGCCGACACCACAGCCTCAAGATCATCATCACTCAAGTCATCCCCCGGAATAGAACCCTTGAATGGATCCGCCCCGTCGAGCAGATCAATCTTGCGCCCGTCGGGCGTCTCCAAGCTCCACTCGGTCGTCTCGAACAGGCCCTTGTGCGACGTCCGGAAGCTGGCAAACTTCATGACGGCCTCGTTGCGGGATCCCTTGACGCTGAAGCTGATGTCGATGCGCCCGTGGAGCTGGTTCATCTCGCCGGCGATCCAGGGGATCTGGTGCTTGAACTGGACCTCGTCGCCGAGGTACTCGCGGGCTCTCGGGGAGGTGCGCAGCGCGTAGAGGGTAGAGGCGATGACGGGGGAGGAGGACTTTTGGTAGTTGAAAATTGCGATGCTGCTGAGGGCGATTGCGGCGGCGAAGAGGGGCAGGGTGCGGGACCAGCGGAAGGTGATTTGGTTGAGGTCTGTTTGAAGAATTGTGGTGGTCAGTGGATGGACGACAATGGGAAGAGAGAAGGGGGAAGGGGGGAAGAGAGACGAGAGGTTTACCTGGGAGTTCTCGGTCTGCGCGCCGCTCCATCAGCGGTCCTGACCCAGGCTTCGGCGCCGCGGTCGCCCATCTCTTTTGAGCCTGCGCTCTGAGCTGCTGCGGCTGTTGCCGTTGCCTCGTGGCGGCGCTGCGCAGCGAGGAGGCGAACCTCCTGGTGACTGTGTTTGAGAACATGCTGGAAATTAGAAAACTCCCCGTGAAATCGGAAGCGTCCTTCGAATGAAATTGAGACTGCCGCGTCGGTGAGTGTGGTCGGTTCGGATTTCGTGGTGCCGGGGCGTTTGGTCTTAGGTAGGTCAAATTCTCGGGATGCTCCGAATCAGGCCATGCAAGTTCGGTCAGTTCGGTCGGTCGGTCGGTCTCGACTCTCGGTGGGCAGGCCAAAGCTCTCTCTAGAAAATTCCCGGGGTCCTGGCGCGGGCATTTGGAAAGCAGAGAAAAAAAGCAATCGATAAACAGTAACCAATCAGACCCTAGACCCAGGACCCCTGTCGCACATTGTCCAGCTGTCGCGCGTCATAAGGCTGAGTGGTCGGTCACGGCCCCCCTCTACGAGAGGTAAGCTCCATCCACACCTTTCAACACCTTTACCTGAGGTAGCCCACCTACCCAGGCTTCTACAAATCTGTCTTCATCGACTAGACTTGTCAACACGTAGACCAGGTGTTTGCGCCTTTACCAGCTACGACACCATTACCAAACACCAGCAACCCGCTACCGCCCATCGCGCATTTTACGAAACCCTTCAAACCAAAATGGCAGAACCTCGAGGCGCGGCCGCTCGTCTGCGGCGCACCTTCCACTATCCCACCGACGAGGACTCGGCAGACTCCCAGCCAGAAGCCATGGACGAAGAGGGTACGACGCAAAAGACACCAAAATACCTAATTCCTAATCCATCCCATCCAGTCCCCTTCTCTTTCCACCTGTCTGTAAATCAAAGCTGACACCCAACCCCCAACCTAGAACAAGAAACCCTCATCCGCCGCCTCGCAGAAGACAACGCAGCCCGCAACGCCCAATTCGCAACCGCCCTCCTCGCCCTCCCCCTCCTAACAACGATCCCCTACCTCTTCAACCTAGCCCGCCTCTCCGCCCCGCTCACCTCTCTCCTCTCTTTGACGTCCCTCCTCTCGACCGCCTACCTCCTCCACACCCAACCCCCAGGCGCGACAGGAATCCCCTGGCTCGACGCTTGGTCCCGACCAAAGACCCCGCGCCCCAGCCCGGCCTCCTCGCTCGAGTCCTCGACCTCGTCCGTCTCCGGCGGTCCGTCGTCCTACCAGCCCGTCCAAACGACGCAGAGGAGACGCAGGCGGAGCTCCTTCTCCTTCGCCGAGGAGCAAAAGGGTCCTTTGGAGCTGTATCTGCCGTACCTCAACCTCGGGCTCTGTGGGATGCTCATCCTGGCGGGGTTGGCGACGAAGTCGAGCGACAAGGCTTCGTTTGGCCACGTGGGGCTGGGGAACCTGCCTGCTATAGTGTACTTAGTTGTTCTGATCGCAAAGGTGGTCATGGGCAGCGTCGATCCGGAAAAGGAGTTGGCCGCGCTGAAGTATGGTTTCAAGGGCGCGTAAGGATCATGACTTGAAAAGAAAAGTAGCTACGTGGCGGCGGGGATGTGTATTGTTCTATTGTTTTACTACGAATACCACGGGACGGAAGGAGTTAGCTTTACGACTTATGCTGGAATGACGACGTAACTATTATGCAGCGAGCGCAAAAGAAGGATTGTCCAGAGGTCGGGCTACCACAAATCGAGTTTGATCGGGATTGAAAAAAGATGCAAGCACAAGTCTATTAACTTTTACTGACACGTAATTACAACAATTTATTACACGTCTATGGATTCGTTGAAGCGCAACACGCCGTGACTTTTCAGGACACCGTCCACTCCCTTGGGCAATCGCGGGAACGGGTCGGTCAGCGAATTTGTCGACGACGGATCCAGTGACTTGTCTGTGACCAACGCAAGACCGTGTGACTTGATGGCGTCCACCAAGGCGGGGACCATCTCCTGTTGTACAGTTAGTAAGAATATTACAGTCATCCTTCAAGGGCCCAAACGTACCAAAAGCCGTGAGCAGCAAATCAAGCCCATAAAGTTGTTGCCTTGCGCAACACGAACCACCTCCTTGATTGACGCAGATCTTCTGCCGTGGCTCTGAATAATGTCCGGCGGCGCCATGACATCCTCCCGTCCCAGATCGTTGCAGAGGAACACGGGGAAGTTTGGCTGCTTCCAGTTGAGTGCTGTGCACATGCTCGGGTTATATGAGCTGAACACCACAGAACGAACCGACTCGAGCGACTGGGCTCGCTGAGCGCGGGCGTGGTCAAACACAATGGTGAGGAGAGAGTCGACGAATGTATTCAAATCCAGCGATGGACCCAGACCCAGTGACCTCTCCTCGTCCAGTGAAGGGTACAAAATCTGGATGTTGACATGCATGCCATGCGGGAGCAGAGCCAGCGCCTCATTGAGAGGGATACCCGCTGTCGCAAGAACCCGATGGACGTCTGCAATTGCGTCCAGAGGCCTTGTTGGTAATGATGCCAGTTCGGCTCTGCTAGAGCTCTTTGACGTAATCGTGTTGAACTGCTCCATTGTCAATCTTGAGATGGGTAGGTCAATTCCACCACATGGTATCGTCCATCTCGGCCACAAGACTGGTACACCATCGCTGGTGTGCTGGACGAAGAGTTGGACAAAGTCGCCTGACAAACTCGAGCCAGTCACAAACGTGCTTGGACTGCGGTCGAATTGGCTTGTCGCCTTCCAGTACGTTTCGAAATCCGTAATCTCGAGTGGCTTGCCGTTGAACGGCTTGATGACCTGCGTGTGGAAGCTGATCTGGCCAATCGCTCGTAGCCTTGGATCGAACAGGGGCAGACAGCACTTCCCAGAGCTACTAAGCAGCGCCTTGAAGGTATTGGGAAGGGCCACCGTCTTCGCAATGATCTTTGCGCCGTAGGTAGGGAATACGTCGAAATCAAGTGTAAATGACTCCAGGTTGTCGATTTGAAAGGAAACAATACGGGTATCTTCTTGGAAAGGCAGCATAATATTCTTCGGGATGAGATCGGAAACCTTTGACGAAATGGTGAGACGGGCGGCAGGGTACTTTCCGTCGTGGAAGAATACGAGGGGTTGGTCCCCATTCTCCTCAAAACTAATCTGGATGACCGTCTTGGTGTCCAAGAAATTATGTCCGTACCGGCGCAACGGTATTATTGGCGGCGGCAGCTCAAGTTCGGGGATGGCATCCGGGTCGAGGGCCATCGGGTCGGGCCCGCTGCTCATCATTGGTCCCAACCCGGGCTGCATGATCATGGGGCTTGCCTTCGTTCTTGCGTTGTAAGGAGCAAGCAATTGCATGCATTCTAGGTGGCCTTCCCATACAGCGTAATACATTGCTGGCAGGTCCTTTTCGTCGACGATGTTGGGGTCTGCTCCGACGTCCAATAATCCTTGGAGGCAGGGAACATTACCTTCGCTCGCGGCGTGAACCAGGGGCGTCCATCCGTACAACTTGTCAACCTGATCAAGATTTGCTCCGAAGTTCTTGAGCAAAAGTAGGAGCTCTGGCCTTTGGCCTGACCGAGCCACAAGATGTTGGGGGTAGAGTCCTTCAGCGTCGGGAACGATCTGTGCTCCATGCTGGAGGAGCATTTCCACAATTGCCAACGAACCATGCTCGCACGCAAGATTCAGCGGTACATGGTCTGCATCAGAGACAGGGTCGATTCGAGCGGACTTTGCCAGCAGTCGTTCGACGCACTGAAGATGGCCGTGGATGATTGAGTGTACCAGAGGGGTAAAGTTGTCATGGTCGATCAAATCTATCGTTGAAGTATCCGCTGTAAGACTACGTCAGCAATCACGCAACCATGCTACCTGTACTCTTATGAATCTCACCACTAGTCAGCGCATCGAGCATGTCCAATCGTCCATGCATACTGGCATAATGCAGCGGGACCCTGCCGTACACATCGGTACGACTGACAGCAACACCTTTTGCCAGGCCGTATTCAAGAACAAACGAGTTCCCGTAGATGGCGGCTTGATGCAGGCAATTACGTTCGTTGATGTCATCCTCCGACTGTATGTCGACCAAGCCTGTGTCGAGTAGAGCCTGCAGAGTCTCTTTAGGCGCTTCGTGGATGGCGGCGAGGAACGTTCTCGTCACTCTCTCCATCAAAGAGATATCGGAGCCCGAGGATGAGCTAGCAGCCGTCCGCATTCGGATCAGCAGATCTCTCAACGCCTCGAGGTTCCCTGAGATGACCGTGTCGAGCAGTAGTGTGTCCGCATCACCTTCGTCGGTTCCGAGCAGATGCTGGCTGCTCACGATGTGATCGCTGCGAGGCTCGAAGCTGACATTGTCACCCTCTGCCCAAGCCCCCAGCTCTTGGAGACTAGTAGTGGCCTGGTCGGACAGCTCGCTGATGACGGTGGCATTGAAGAAGGGCTGCACCTCGACTGCCCTGGACAGGTAGAGTTCTTTGGTTTTCGACTTTGATGTCTTGTCCCACTTTTTGAGGATCTTGGAGAAGGCAGTTCCGTTGATCTCAACGAATTGCTGCAGCTTATTCAGGTCGCTGGCAAACTGTTGGAAGCCCTCTTCGAGAGTTGTGAACTTGGCTGAACGTCTGGAAACACCATTACGAGACTGCAACACCTTCTTCTTGTCTAGAAGGGTCTTCAGTCGCACCTTGAGCTAGGCGGGGGTCAGTTCTGACAGGGTAAAGTCATCAGATTAGACAAGAGAGATTATTGCATACCTCTGCCTCCTTTTGTAGGTAAAAGGCGTTGACCTTTTCGAGCTCTCGTTCCTGTTCGAGAGTCAGTAAGTACGGTGGGAAGTTCATCGCACCGACCCATGGCTTGATACATACCAACTGGAAGAAAAACGTGGCCTTGTTGGCCTGAAGGGCAGCCTGGGAGTCTATAGATATTGCGGAGCGGAGAGGGTCATGTTGTGCGCTCAGCGTGGGCGTAGCCGACAATTTCTTGATCAGCTAGCAGCGAAAGTCAGTGGTAGTGCCGGATAGGATTAGCTATTGCCATGGGGGCTCGCTCCATTCACCTGCCCCTGACGGGACAGTGTTGGGTACTGAGTTGACTAAATCCTAGAGGGTGGTTTTTTTTTCCCTCCTCTTTGTGGTTCGCAATGCAAGCTTCTTCCCAATGCGGGAGAGAAGCCAGGAAATGGGGTAACAAAAGGGGGACAGAGACTGAAGAGGAAACCGCCAGACCACGAAACGTACCTTTTTGAGAGCCTTGTAGTTGACAAAACTAGCGGCATACTCTGGAACTTCAAGCTGACGCTTCTGAATCTGCTTGCCGAATTTCCTGTTGGTACGTCAACCCAAGTTCGCCAGTGAGAACAAAATAGAAGTTAGCTAGGGCCAAGAAACTGACATGATGGACAGACGCCCGTGAGATCACGGTGTCCAAAGGTGATCGTTGTTAGAGACAGCAGTCTACGTGCCCTCCAGTAGTGGCAAGCTGACAGTGGATGTCTGCAGGGAGAAAGCTGATGACAGCAGGAGGCTCTGCGGACGTGGTTATGCGTCGGCGGCAGGCAAGCAAAGTAGCCACTCGCACAAGGGTATGCTGAGTGACGTCGCCTCGTAGCAGAGTTGTGTTGAAGAGCTGCGGATTAATGTAGAGAGCCGCACGTGGGATGCTCTCCAGTGGCGCAAGCTGATGAGATGACGAGTTGAGAAGACCAAACCCTTTTTTGGCGATCAGCGAAATAGGATCCTGCCACGTAAGGTGGCCAGAATAGCGGGCACAGACAAGCGAAGATCCAAGTTGAGGTAAGGATTCGAAGCTGTTGCTGGAGTTAGAATATGAATGTCTAGACTAAAGAGGGCGACGATAAGGAGATATCCCTCGTGCAATAAGATGACCGCTTGGTCAGTAGGGCCATCAAGTAGCTATGGCTGAAAAAATTGAGTACGCAGAAGGAGGATGAGGAACCCAAAAGCAGTACCCGTAAAGAAACTAGGTCATAGCGAGCAAGATGGGTAGTAGGTGGGGGTATTCTGAAGCTATCCCGGGCATGCCTCGGTGACAACCAGGCCCTGAAGAAAGAGGGGCAACAACGCAGGCGGCTCTCAGAACATGAACATGGTCAGGCGTTTGCTCTGAACAGGTGCCACAAGTAGGTAATAGTTATTGATGCCAGACACTGCGTGGGGGCAGGGAGAACGATGAATGGTTGCAGGTACTGGCCGCCAGTGGATGACAATATACCATGTCAGCGCCAGTGTCGGTTGGCGCACCCGTTTTTTGTCTCCGATGAGGAAAGCAAGGTCTGAGCTGGCCCCGGACAAGATCTAGTTACGGGTTGGACGGGGGGTGAGGTTAGGAAGACGAGACGCGGCCGGGGACCAGAACATCGTCTCGTCCAGGGTGGTGGCTCCGTTTCCTACTCTGACTGGGGAATAAGAGGAAACGAGTGCATCGTCGACCATGGTGATAGGGATTATGCAAAAGAAGCAGTCAAGCATGGGTCGAGGGGTAGAAGAAGAGGTGATGTGGGTTGGAGTGTAACGGAGAAGAAGGAGGCATTGGCAAAAGTAAACAGACTTGCGCCGAACCGGAGCAGATCATGAGATTGATTGTTGGGAGACATTCATGCTTACCGGCCAATATAGCAGGTTTAAGCGGTGATTGCTCCAACCTATGCTCCTTTAGATGAGAATAGTGAAGTCTGAAGTGGCTGTAAGTTGCAGCCGTGGCGTATACGTCTGTGTTGGTGTCGTGTGAGAGTGAGGTCGAATTAGGCAAACCGAAGCCAGGTCAGATGAGTGAGTTGTATGGTTCTGCAACTCTACCTCATCGGTATGTCGAGGTTTGCAGGGCGGCGGCGGTAAGAATGACAGCAGCCCAGATCTAGACTTTGGATTTGGGGAGTGGTGAATGAGAAGTGAGATGCGACTCTAAAAAGCTAAGTTCGAAGGGGTCCAGATCAGGAGGTACTGTGTGTATCTGCCTTTCCTCACTTCTCTCTCTCAAGACGATGGGCTAGCAGGGCAGGCCGTAGTGGCAGAGGCAGTTGGCAGTCAAAGTTGTGAAATGCAAATGGGTGCCGGCCGGGGTCTTGGCCAACCATGGTATCGGTCTGTCCAATAGCAGGGCCGAGGAGCACCAGCAACGGGCCAGCAGGTGGGTCCACCTGCCGGCCCTGGGTACGTGCTTCCATTGGGAAGTTGGGTCTGGTCTTTCTTGCCCGTGCTGCGTCTGCTGTGCGCGAGAGAGCAAGAGCGTCGATCAGTCCCTCCCCTGTCTAGTGGTGAGGTGCGGGGTACCTTTTCTCTTGTCACTCCTGTGCCACCCTTGCGTACCTACCTCACTACCTGAGGTAAATGCACAATGGAGACGACGTTACACTTGCAAGAACTGCAAGAGCTGCGAAAATCATCCACTCAGATCCAACTGGGCAAGAAATGGCAGGCATCAAGTGTGGCTCCCTGACTGTTTTATGACCAGTACGGTGCCGTTTCGCCGTGCTTGGAAAGTCTTCCAGCGTCAACCTACGATGAGCTCCCGAGGGACATCTCGCCTACAACCTATCGCCTACCTATCATATGTGCATACCCTGTGCCTCTACCCTCTTCCGACCTTGTCTGCCCGGGTCAAGATCAAAGCGAACATCTCCTGCTTGTACCTACCTACTCGGGCAAGTTCTCGCGCCATCTCGGAAACGAGAAAATAGTCGGACGACCTGGACCATCAAAGTACCCGCTTTGTGGCAGTTCAACAACGCATTGCGTCTCGCGTTGTATAGTATCACAGAAACCGAGCACGTGTGCTATTTCTCGTGGCTTCTGCGTGGATCCAGGAGGGGTCTGACTTTCTGGAATTATCGACGGCCGTATCCTTTTTGCCAAAGCTCCCCTCCTACTTTTCAATAGCCGCAGTCGTCACTAGCAGTACAGAGTACGTTGCCAACATGTATGGAGGACCAGACAACATGTACATGGCCTCAAGGAACACCCGTGGAGCCCCCCTCCCACCCACACAAGCGCTTGATTCGCTTTCCCCCATAGCCAAGTCTTCAGATTGCCGGCCAATGACGGCTCGCATATGAACCACGTTTTCCTCTCGACGTGCCAAGGACAAGGCTGAGAGAGGTACAACAGCACACTGCCAAAAACCCGGGCGTCGAGCCGTTGGAAATTTCCTACCTCTATTTCTTTCCCGGCACAAATTCACAATCTCCTCTACTCCGTATACCTGTGTTGGTTCGTGGCATAAGGTTCATTCTTAGGCTGCATGGATCCGAAATCTTCCATTCGATACTATCCATCTCCGTTTCTACCCAATCCTCTCTCTCCTCTCAAGAAATGTGTCAGTCTACTCCGTAGCGAAGCCTCATACGGCTGAATGGGCTTCCAATTTCACCGATATGTGCCATTGAGGGGAGGGGTACTGCTTGAGGGCGCCAAGTACCATTTCAAATGACCGACTCTGGCTATCTTCCCTCAGCTTGCTGGCTTTCACCGAATCGTCTTGGGTACGAAGAAAAAGGCCCTCTCAGTTCTACCCAGTTGGGATGTTTCAAGCCCAGACTTGCAGCAGCAGAAGCTCCAGCAACCTGCATCAATACGGAACCAGCCGGAGTGGTGGGCAGAAAAACCACATCAGAACCTCCTCATCCAATCAGTGTACCTAGTGCGGGGCATATCAACCCGCGAGGGGCATCCAACTCATAGCGGCTATCCGTACTTCTCGCCCTTTCGCTTCGCTTCACAAACTGTTGGCGAGTCCAATGACCCAAAAAGCGGGTGATTCGATCCATTCCCATTCCGCCATTATCGATGGGCTTCTCAACATATGTTGTAAACCCTTGCGAATCAAAATGCTTGTTTTTTGGTCGGATATAGAGGCCAATCAGCAGGAGACTACCATGGAGCCCATCAAAGCCCAAGGATGGGGACGGGATGGGGTTCCGGAGGTCATCGTGGAGCATAAATACTGTCAACTTAGGCATGGGGCTCTTTTGAAGCATCTCGCCTGTGAGCCAGAACCTGCAATTGAAGAACGCTACTCGCCAACACGCCTGGGCCTTTCTACCGCCACGGATCGGGTATATCACGATACGGCTGTTCGGGAATGAGACGGCAACATGGCGGGGCACTACTTACTTTTGTTGCATGCTCCCTTACCTTGACATTTTTGCATCCGCGGGCCATCCTGAACCTAGGTAACCTAGCAAGCGGTCATGCGGGAAGAGGCCGCGGCCCCCATTCCCATCCGCTGCTTGCCGCATCGCGAACGACGGCCATATCCACGACGTACGAATACGTCAGGCGCCGATCGCCCATACAAGGGTCTTTTGCGGGTATTCCATCCCCGTTTGCTTCGTGTGCTTCGGTGTCTTCTCACCCGTACATCCATCATCACGCCTCTTTCTATGCAAGATCCGCGCGACCTTCCTGTTTCTACGTGTTCCAACTCCCAACTCACACCAACGCCAAGTCGGCAAACCGGCCTGGTTCCTAAGCGACAACATGAATTATGATCCTGGATTTCTTCGATAACGAGGGCGGAACTTGGAAACAACAGCAACGAAAATGCGGGATACTTTCAATTTAGATGTCCTTACTAAAGGTACGTTTCCTAGTGAAATGGAAAGGGGGAATCATGAAAATCCCAGGTTCGCCATGCCTCCCGAGACTTCCCCGTTTGCCAGGCTATCTTCGCCATGTCGCTCAAGCCATGGCGTGGGGGGTTTTTGGATATCTGAAAATGAAAGTATTGTATCAACGCAAAAGCCGCCCTTCCCTCCTCCGATCACACAGTTAAGCCTCGCTCTTGAGGTTCAAAATCTCAATTCTTCTTGGCGTCAGCACCAGCCGTCTCACCGCTCTTGGACTCGACGAGGCTATCCGCCATGGCCTCGGCGGCGGCCTTCTTGAGCCTCTCGCTGTCCTCCGAGCTGGCGCCGGCGTCCTTGGTAGTAGTATCCTTGCTGGTGGACGCGGCCTTTTCCTTGGCCTCCCGCTCGTCTTCGCTGTCGCCCAGGCTGAAAGGGTCGTTGTCGCTGATGGGGTTCGGGTCGACCGTCGACAGGGGCTGCCACTTACTGGCCTTTGCCTTTGAACCGGACAGGTCTTCGGCGGAGCGTCTGGGCGACGAGCCGTACACGTCAATCTCCTCGGCGCCTTCCCTGAAGGCCACCTTGCGACCATCGTGGGGCTTGGGCGACTTTGAGGGTGGAGGGGGTTTGTAGAGGTCAGGGTTTGACAGAGGTCTGTTGCTGTCGCGGAGAGGGGCTAGTTACCGTTGTTAGATCGTGGGGTCTAGTAAAAGTGAAAAGGGGGCATCGGGACTTACTTCCGTCGGCGGTGAACTTCATACCAGCAAAGTCGTCGCTGAGCACCTGAGGATCGGCATCGTATCTCTCATAGTCGCCGCTTCGGCGGCTCGACTCGCCGGGTCGTCGGGCGCCATACTGGCCCTGGCCCTGGCCTTGACCCGGCCGCTGGTGACTGGATTCGTCCTCGTCGGCAAACTCCTCGTCAAACCTCTTCTTCATTGTGGTGATCCAGCTGTTGACCTTGCCCTGCGTCTCCACGAAGCCCTTTCGGAGCTTCTCCTGAATCACCGGCAACTCATCGTCAAAGAAGTTGGGTTCGCGGTCCTCGGCGTTCGGTCTGGGCTCGAGGCCGGTCTGCTGCCTCCTCACACGACCGCCACCACCGCCGGGGCTCCGGTTGGAGGTTCTAGCTTCGTAGCTGCCGACGTTGTCAAAGTGCTCCGCCAGCTGGCGCGCGTAGAGCTCGTCGGCTTCGAGCTGGGACAGCTGCGCGCCGCCTTGGGGGCGGGGAGGCTGGGGAGGGGGTTGTTCGTCGGTTGTCTCGTGCTGGGCCGCATCGGGATCAGTCATTTCTATATCGGGGCCCCGTCAGTAAGGGAGATTTATGGACGGGTTTGAGCAATCGCAGGGGGTCACGCGACACATACCAAGAAGGGCATTGAAAGCCGGATCAATCTTTCCGCCGCTGGCTCTCAGGACCGCCTTGATGACGGAGATGTCGATGCTGGGGAAGGCCTCCTTCAAGATGTCCTCCGTCTTCTGCGTTTCGCCGGAGGGTCTCGGGGGCTTTGGTGGGGCCGCTTCGGTGGTGGCGGGTGTCGAGGAGGCCATGTTGGACGAGGTGGTGTTGGTCTTGGTGGTAGCCTGAGATGTAGTAGGAGCCTCACCGCCGAGAACACCTGTTTCCTGGATGTCTTCGTCGTCGGACAGATCCAGGGGTCGAACTGTTGTAGGCGATTCGGGCCCGCTCGTGGAAGTAAGCTTGTTCTAGGAGGAGATGAGGGTGTCAGTTCTCTCGACAGGGTACATGTGCATGAAGTTTGGACTTGTTTCGGGGGACGGGATATATGCGCACTGTTTCGATGGGGGCAGACATGACTACTGTTCGGTCGCTCTCCAATACTTCTTCTCTCCTTGGGAGAGAGTTCGTCTTGGTGTGAGATGAAGGTCCCCAGCAAAAGAAAAGGAGTAGCTAGCGAGCAAGTCTGCTTGAGGACGGAGGGGGGTAATTTGCTTGCTTTCGCGAGATTGTTAGGTGCAAGGACGTTGCGGAATGCGCGCGCCCGGACGGAGGGGTTGGAGACTGGAGGGTACCTTAGGTAGCTGGCGAGATGACATTAAAGTGGGTTACGAAGCTGATGACGCCGCGCCTCCTTTGGGGAACTGGGAACTTCTAGGCGCCAGCTTGAGCTTAATACTAAGCCACAATCCTGCCGCCACACTTGTCGTCAATTGTGCCGCTCAAGTGATCCTGACAGCTTCTTGCGGCCACGAAAATCACTCCAGCTGCCCCTTTGGTTGCCTAGAGGACCCTTAAGTAGCCAAAATCTCATGAAAGATGCAACAAATAATGTAGAAGACAAAGTTCTTTGGGTGCAGGGGCGATGGAAAGGGAGACATGGATGCTAAGCGGCGTGTGATCATGTCAGCCACTTGACAATGAAGGTTGAAGGGCATGAGGAAGCAGTAAGAGGCCACCATCTGTCACCAGCTGACAGCACTTCGGCCAGCCAAAATTGCAACCTCCAATGTCGACGACCACTTGCAAACGAGGCCAATTGTGAGGCCAAACCACACTTACAAGAAAAGCTGTCAGTCAAAATGAGATATATGAGGTGACCGTCCTCTTGACTTACAAGCTATTCTTCATTTTGATGATAGATGTGACGTCGGTTGCCAGTATCTGAAGGTAAAATCACCAAATTGAATAAAGATCACTCATTTCTAACCTATACACAGTCTCTAGTCAATAGCCCAAAGGTTCTCACGCAACCATGGCGGACTTCGATCTCAACTCGGCCTTCATCCCGGCCCTACACAAGCCATCGGCCCTCCTCCCCATCGCAAAGCACCGTGAGGCCCTTCTTTACCTCATCGAGACCAAGCAGGTCACCATCGTCGTCGGCCAGACCGGCTCCGGCAAGACCACGCAGATCCCCCAATTTCTCGAAGCCGCGGGTTGGTGCGCAGACGGCAAGGTCATTGGCATCACGCAGCCGCGCCGTGTGGCGGCGACGACGGTCGCGCTCCGTGTCGCCGAGGAGGTTGGCTGTGAGATTGGCCAGCAGGTCGGCTACGCTATCCGGTTCGAGGACAATACCTCGGCGCAGACGCGCATCAAGTTCATGACGGACGGGCTGCTTATCAGGGAGGCACTCGTGGACCCCTTGCTGACGCGGTACCCTGTTATCATGGTTGATGAAGCCCACGAGCGTTCCATCAGTACCGATATCCTCCTGGGACTACTCAAGAAGATTCTCAAGAAGAGGCCTGAGCTACGCATCATCATCAGTAGTGCGACATTACAGGCAGAGGAGTTCTTAAAGTTCTTCACGACCTCTCCAGGGGACGAGCAGAAGAAGACGGTCACCGCCTCGGAGGACAAGGATGGAAATATTAGTGCCGCCGACGACGACGACAAAAAGGGTGCAATCATCAGCTTGGAGGGTAGAGCACATCACGTCGACGTCCTCTATCTAGAATCACCAACCGAGGACTACGTCGAAAAGGCAATCTCGACAGTCTTCGACATACACACGACAGAGTCCGAAGGCGACATACTCGTCTTCCTCACAGGCCGTGAAGAAATCGACAACGCCGTCCAAGCCGTCGCCGACCGCCTGCTCGACCCGAACCAACCTCGCGGCCAGCAAACACTACAAGCGCTGCCCCTGTACGCAGGTCTCTCGACAGAACAACAAATGTACGTGTTTGACAAGCCACCAGAGGGCACGCGCAAGGTCGTCTTCGCCACCAACATGGCCGAGGCCTCCATCACAATCGACGGCATCGTCTACGTAATCGACACGGGCTTCGCCAAGCTGCGCGCCTACAACCCGCGTACGGGCATCGAGACCCTAACCTCGACCGCCATCTCAAAGGCCTCGGCGTCCCAGCGCGCCGGCCGCGCGGGACGCACCCGACCGGGTAAATGCTTCCGGCTCTACACGGAAGACGCCTACCTCGCCCTCCCCGAGGTCACCGTCCCCGAGATGCAGCGCTCCAACCTGGCGCCCTTTATCCTGCAGCTCAAAGCCCTCGGCATCGACAACGTCCTGCGCTTCAACTTCCTCAGCCCGCCGCCCGCGGAGCTCATGGCCAAAGCCCTGGAGCTCCTCTACTCCCTGGGCGCCCTCGACGAGTACGCCAAGCTGACGAAGCCGCTGGGCTACCGCATGGCCGAGCTGGCCGTCGAGCCGATGATGGCCAAGACGCTGCTCGGCGCGCAGTCGTTTGGGTGCCTGAGCGAGATGCTCACCATCGCCGCCATGACGAGCGCCGGCGGGAATAACGTCTGGTTTCACCACGACGGCGAGAGGAAGCAGATGGAGCTGTCGCGGCGCAAGTTCGCCGCCGACGAGGGCGACCACTTGACGCTGCTCAACGCCTACCAGGCCTTTGTGACAAAGGGCAGAAAGGAGTCCAAATTCTGCCGGGACCATAACCTCAACTTCAAGACCATGACGAGAGCTGTCAGCATACGGGGGCAGCTAAAGCGGTACCTCGAAAAATTCGGCATCACTATCGACGCCGAGCAGCAGCAGCAGCAGCAGCAACAGCAGTCCTTCAACCCCGCGGGCTCACGGCAACATCATCAACAAAAGCAAGACAACTCCACAAAGGCGGAGCAGATCCGGCGGTGCCTCACGACGGGCTACTTCGCGCACGCGGCGAAGATGCAGCCGGACGGCACGTTCCGCAACGTCTCGGGCGAGACGACGCTCCACGCGCACCCCAGCTCCCTCATGTTCAACCGCAAGGCCGACTGGGTCATCTTCCACGAGGTCATGGAGACGGCCAACAAGATATTCATACGGGACATAACAAAAATCGAAAAGACTTGGCTGGTGGAGTACGCGCCCGAGTTCTACCAGCTGTCGGACAGTTCGGCGCGGCGGGCTCGCGACGAGGCTGAAGCTGAAACGCTATGAATAGGAGGTAACATCCTGCGGGTGCCCGTACAAGAGGGCACTAGAATTACTGAATGGGATGTGTGAAGCTGGAAGGTAGCAGCCGGAGGATGAAGGGGTCCTTGTTTCTGTGGTACGAGGCCCGCGGAGTGCGAGATGAGACGAGATTAGGGCGACGGGGGCCTTCGATGAGGCTGGGCAGTTGAGGCCTTGAAGAAGCGAAGATTCTGCCGTATTATTTGGTAGCAAGGGCCCTGAGCTATGCTAGGTTGGCAGAGCCTCACAGGGGATGACATGAGGCTATTGCAACTTTCAGATTTATTTCTTGGCGGTGGAAACTTTGGACCATTGCCAATATCCGTCTAGAAGACGGGAAACAAACTTGAATGTCCGCACTGCGTATTCGTACAAAGTCAAGACATTGAACTCACACGACTCAAGACTTGACCGTGTGCTGCGGTAGATATATACAATTATGAGCATCTGAAGCAGGGCCGAATCGATACCGCTGTCCTTGATAGAGCGGGCCGAGTGCAACCGTCGGGCAGTGTCTACTGCAAGTTCTTGGTGGCGCTGCAGGGCTCGAAATTGATCCGCTGGTCAGAGATACTGAGTGGAGGTTCCTGCTCTCAGGAGTCAGGAGCCAGCGTATCCGTACTGATACTCTGGAGAGGTACGATTATCGATATACGGATAGGCACATGTACACAATTAGTTGATGATAATGAAGGTCGTGTTTCACTGCACAATTTTATGAAATGCATCCGCACAGTTGCCGATTATACGCCATTTATACGAGTGCTGCAGACTGTCGCGATAGCGGTCGACCAATGCGCATTGTGATTGGCAGCAAACCTTGTAGTAACACAGTAGAGCACACCAAGAAGACGGGGCCGATCAAGATTTCTCGGCCAATGACCAAGCTTTGGAGGATCCATCGAGATTAGCTTAATTACTCGACTGGGGGCAATGCCAATTGTGATTTGGGCTTTTTGACTGGTTCGCCAAGCCAGCAATGGGATTGACTTTTCTCATCCTCATCAGCAGCGGCTGGTCTAGCCAGTGTACCAGTCTTGCCAGTTCAGAGCCGCGTCAACCCCTGAGTCTTGGGTTGAGGGGAATTCGACGACGACACGACGTTGGGACGACTTGTGTGGCTTCATTGTTCTTGCACTCGGATGAGGTGACATTGTCTTGTCGGATGGCACGTGAGACGAGACATACGTCTATGCTTGTTTCTCCGGAAACATGCATACATAGACACGCAGGCGGAATGCTTCTGTCTCTCTTCAAATAGAAGAACACGGCGGGGACGTTGGAACGTCGGTGGAATCAGGGACTGGCTTGCAGAAGGGGATGAGAACTCCCCTCTTTTCTTGGCACCGCTGCTGGTAGCCTAGTAGCTGCACCGGCCAGAAACCCGATGAGGGCCTCTGTCGAGTCTCGGACGAAAGAGCCGGACGAGACCAAACCCAACCGATTAGCAACAGGCCAGCCGCCAACGACCATGGCAGACACTTGGCTCGAATTCCCAAGGAACGGGACTGTCGCTGCAATGCATCGCGATGACATGCGACTCAGATCCCCCTCGATTATCGGTGCCGGCGGCGGGAAAGGATACCAGATGCGATGCGCTGAGCCGGACAACTGCCGCATCTCTTTTTTCACCGGCCCCTTAACCCGGCCCTCCGTTGTCGCTGCATGGATCCCCCGTAAAAGGGGAGAGGTGCGACGCGGCGACCGCATGATGCGAAGCTGGGAGGTCCTGGGTCAAGAGAGGAGCCTTTGTTTCCCTGTTTCTTTCTGATTTGAACGGAGGTGTTTACCCTTGAAAGAGGTGAGTGATCGTCGCTGGAGGAGCTACTGGGATTGTCCACCCCCACCCAGAGCCGAAATGACGGCTCGAGATGCCGCGTTGGTGTTGTTGTTGAACTCGAGGAGTCGCTGGCACTGCTACAGTGCTACC